TCTCTAGGCATCTGAATCAAATGAGAGCAAATGTGTCACTAAATCTGTAATCATGACAAACTCACCTCCTTGTCAAAATCTAACATCTCCACGTCATCGTAAAGAGAAAATCCAAGGCCTTGTTTTACACTTGTCCTCGTTCCAGCATCTCTAGCCCTGAAGAAGAATAAGTACAGTAGATGAGGGGTGGGCAAACTATGGCTCAGGGGCCAAAACTGGCCTACTAAGCAATTTTTACTGGCCCCCGAGGCAAGAGTAAAATTACTATATATGAGCTCACAAAACAGTATAACAAAAAACATTTGTTCCTATGCAGAAAAAAAATAATCCAAAAATCAACATTAATAAAACAGTGATAACAGAAACAGTGATAACAGAAACAGTGATAACAGAAACAGTGATAACCATAAACTGATGTTGCTAAATCTGTGAACCTGCTAGTGAAACACGTGTTGCAGACAGACTCAAGACATTAGAAGACAATGCCTGTCCGGAAACCTAGATAATAAAACAAAAGACAACAATCATTCTCTTTTTTTTTTTTTGGTTTTGTTATCTTAACAGACACATTAAGGAATACACAGAAAAGCTTCAGCGGGTGGGTGTGTCTGGCCAAAGGGGTAGTGAGGGTTATAATCTTAGATTATCCTACACACACACAAATACTGTTATGAGTAAATCTGGTTTTTTTTGATTTGTTCCTATATGACCCACGACCAGGTTGGTAATTCTAAATTTGGCCCTGAGATTTAGAGAAAAAAATATATATATATATATAAGGCAGCACACCCCTGCACTAGACTCAATAAGGAGAAAATTATGACAAATGTGAGCTTATTATGGAAGACTGTCCCAGTGGCTTTGAGACAATTGTACAAGAGTGGTACAGTGGAAGAGACTGGGGGCTTCACCATGTAATATTCATCAAAAAAAACAACTGCGGCTGCACACATCCACTGTAGCCAACCTCAGTTCCTGCCGGCCCAGTGGTCTTGGCTTCAAACCTACACTGGACTTTATATTGACCTTGGCTCCTAGGCCGACCCAGCCTTAACTCTTTTGTACCAAGGCAGGTTTTACGCATTCTTCTTCTTCTTAGCCTACCATTGCAGACAGGCTCAAAGTTCTGCAAGCAATGTCATGTCTCAGAGTAGCTGCAGACAAGAAGCACCTCCTGCATAAAGCTCTAGGTAGAGCTGTGGTTCTCAGACTGAAAAGAGGAAGGTCTTGGATGGGACAAGCTGAAGACACAATTAGACGCGTGCAGGCTTGATAAATTTGGGCGAGGAGAGGAGTTGGTCAAAGTGCCCAAGCAAGAATCAGTGGGGTTCTATTCACTTTAGCTCGTGAGTGCAGGGACTGGCCAGCTGGTGCTGCAGAATCAGAAGTTCAACATATGATACATGACAATTCCCACCCAGGTGATTTTATAATCTACACATATGGCTGTGTTGGGAGGCAGTTGTGTTGAGAGGCAGACGAAGTGCATGAGGGTTCATAGCAAAAGCGAATGGACGTCACTTAGCCTGCTCTCAGAAGAAGCGACAATGGAAGTGGAGGCGGAGGATGAAGAAGAAAACAACTATTTAACCCTATCACCCCACAACACTCCCCAGAGTGCCAGCTATGTAACTACCTCTACGAAACTGTTGAACTCCATCTCTTTGAGTGCCCAAAACTCAGTGAGACAAGAAGAACGCTACTCCCTCCGAGACAAGACAAGTGGAACACCTTGTACGGAGGAAAAGAACAGCTTGTGAAAACATGCAAATTCCACTACATGGCATTGGGCCAAAGGGCAAAAGCTCATGCGCCGCTGGATCGATAACAACAACAACAACAACAACCCTATCACCAGAAGAAGGCTTCATTAAGTCACTCCCAGCAGTGACAGAGCCTTGTAAATGTCAACATATCGCCATTTTCTCCAAATGCGTAGTTAAATTCCACTGGTTCTATGTGTACCTGTGCAGTGTTTAAAAGGCCAGTATATGAATATAGTAACTACAGATAACATTTATGGGGTTTCCTTGTGACCCTCAGTGGCTTATTTTTTGTTTAAGCCAAGTTGATATCCATTTTCCCTCAACCTCAGTGATAGAGGTCACGGGGTCAAAGCTTGAGCCATCTGATACATGTTTTAGGGCTCCGGGAAATGTATTCCATTTAATATTTAATTCTGTAATTGTTTATTGATTATTCTTTTACATATTAAGAGAAAACTTTGTTTACATGTACATAAATACAGTTTATAAATTCACTGTAAATTGGGCTGACCTGCATGAATATGGGCACAGGGCAAACAATTCTTTGGACAGGAGACTGCATGAGGCAAGAGAGCATACAAAGGACCAACTGTCTTTCAAACGTGCTGTGTATGTTCTTTCAAAAACCTGCCTCATGACGTTTATGGAGGTTTGAGGTTTTGAATAACAGATCAACATCATGGCACACAGGTAGTAACCCATAAGTGCTCTGTTTTTCTTCTAATTCAAGTCTGAGTCCGAAGAAGCTCAGCACAATGCACAGGCTCCGTAGGACCAGCGAGGATCTTGAAATACTTTGGATAGATTTTGTGTAACTTCAAATTTTTTTTTGCCTGAGCAACGCTGTTAGGCTACTCTTTTCGATTTTCAACTGCCAAGGGATTTTTTACGTGCGCAACAATGCACACCGGTGTCCGATCTCACTACCCAGAAGCCCGGGGGAATTACTAGAAGTCCAAATCCACGTGAAAAAATCCCAGCCTTTACAGGGGATTGACCCGGAGTCCTCTAGCATACAAGGTGGACACCATAAATTGAAACCAAACAGCCCCCTTAAATGATGACTATGGACTAACCCCACAATTCTACTTGTGTAGAATATTATATATACATATATCTATCTTTTTGGGGAAGAATTTGCACAGGTTCATATGCTTTTTTTTTTTTTAGCATTTATGTGATAAAAGGGTTACAGAATGTGGTGAAAGGTTTAACAGAGCCAAATAAAAAGTAGAAACGGTAGATGATGAGAATTAGTAAAAGAAAATATCAGTGGTCTTATTCACATTCACTAACTTTTTCCTAGGGCCTTTTCAATGTATTTTTGGCTTGTTCAATGGTGTGCCAGGCAGAGGCAGTAATTTATTCGTGCACAAGAAAGAAGGGGAGTAAAAAACACCTGGGTATGTGCTGAAACAGTTCTTCATCCCATACCCAAGCACAGCGCAATTTCTTCTGTACCTAACAAATGTCTGACCCTTTTCTCGATGGCTGTAGGGCAACAAGATTTGCTCTGAGGTTGGGAAGAGGTGGGGAGTTGCTTCACTACAAAGCACAACTTTGTTCTTTGACGAAGTAATGATAACATATGGGTCTTATGTGCAGCCTTTTTTTTTAAATTTCTGATTTATTTCATTCTTATTTCAGGAACACCGCTGCCAAATTTAAAGGACTTTTGTCCCTCTTTGAACTATTTCAGGTCTTTTGAAGGCCTTCAAAGTGCAAGCTGCCATTCAAGGATTTTCCCTAGGTTTCAAGGGCCGCTATGAGCCCTAATTTAAAGTATTACCCGTCAGATAAACAGTCCCATTGATAGAAATAATACTTTTTTAACAGAGATCTTACACATTCTCCATATCTTGAGGTTTGTCTTGATAGATAAAAAGGTCCCTCTTTCCTCCGACAACAACATTCTCTTCAGGCTGGTCACAGTAAATATCCAGACCTTTACTGACACCAAATCCAGGCTTGACTTCAGCTTTTAGAACAGAGGGCTTTGATCTGAGACAATACAGATACAGTTAAAAGTTAGCAGTATCTTAAAGCAATGTAACCTCAACCTTTTTCACATTTTTGGCCCACCAAAACAGTGTGGAGAATGTTTTGCAGCCCAATGTTGAATGTTAAAATTAGGAATTTACATCACAGCAATCAGGACACTCACATAAACGCTCAGTCCCCATCTTCAGCAACAAGCGAATAGTTCCAATTCCGATGGAGCCAGTAACTGTTTGTCTGTATATCTGTCTCATCCTTTCCCTGAGAGTTGAGCGTCGCCCAGATCCCCTGGTAACTCCTCACAGCACCATTCTCCTTAGACCGTAATGATCTATCTGCGCTTCCACACTGTTCACTGGCTTCCAAAGGGCACCCACAATATTCAACTTGTCATACATGAATTCACCACCAAGTGGTGCAGAGCCAGCCAGTCTACCTGCCTGCTCATTTCCCAACACACCCGCATTCTGGAACAATTTCCAAAGGATGCTAACTACATGGGACCTCTGCAGTGATGCTTGCCACTCTGCTCGAAGCATGCCTTTTTTTTTTCTTTGCTGCCCACATGACAGCTAACCAAACACACACAAAAATCAAAAATAGACAGCAGTTATTTGTTAAGCCTGATGTCATAAAAATTACACTTTTCAGCCAATGCCACATCTGTTCCTGCTTAGAAGTTAAACAATTTACAATAACATCCATTCGATTTCTCCGTCTGGTTTTTATTACTGACATAATAGAGACAGTCTTTTTTTTTTTCTTCTTTTAACTCCAAAAAGAAGTCCTTGAGATGTTAATCCTACAGAGATTGAAAGAGAAAAGGATCTACCCTACCTGGTTACATGATTAAGCAGAATTTGGCCTACCGGGACTTTTCCCATGGCCCATGGGTTGAAGAACACTGGTCTACAGGGCGTTACGAAACCATCTCCAGCATTATTTGAATGTTATTTCATTAGGCACTTTTATGCTTAGTAGGTTGGCACTGTTTTCCTAGCATTGCCTACTATTGCAGATAGGCTCAAAGTTCTGCAAGCAGAGACATATCTCAGAGTAGCTGCAGACAAGGAGCACCTCCTGCATGAAGCTAAGGGTTACAGACTGAAAAGAGGAAGGTCTTGGGTGACACAATTAGACATGTGTGCAGGCTTGATAAATCTGAAAGCCCTTCAGGTCAGGTCTGCCAGAGCTACGCAGTTCGTGCTCTCAGCAGGCAGCTAGCTGTTCTGCAGAGAGAGACCGAGCCAGATTGGATAAACCCCGGTGCAAAAAAGTCGATCCTCTCGACTTTAACTTTAACTACTCCAACAGAAGGAGACAAATGTCTTATTTTATTTCACAATTTATTACAGTGAATTCCGGAGCTGTGATATCGCAGTGGCTAGCAGGCCTGCCTGTGTGCTCGGTGGCTATAGGTTCAAACCTCCCTGGATTGATATAAAAACTTACAAAGACTACACTTATTATGTTTTGTTTAATTGAATAAAATTTCAGAGAATTAAACAGATGTGTATCTTATTAACATGCGTTATGGAAAGGTCATTTCTACAGATTTTCGTGAGGCTAAAGAGTTAAGACATATGAAAACAAGAGATAAAAGGGAACTCTTAACAGCTCTAAACAGGAGTAGATCTGATGCATACTTCTGGTATCAGGTGATGTACAACAGTCACAATTAAGACACATAAACATGATTATATCTTAGAATTTAATGGACCAAAATGGGGAAAAATATGAACATCCTTGAAGATCTGAGTAGTAACGATATTTAACTGGTAAACAGTATCCTGTCTTGGAAACTGGTAAACAGTATCCTGTCTTGGAAACTGGTAAACAGTATCCTGTCTTGGCAACTGGTAAACAGTATCCTGTCTTGGAAACTGAACTATTTCTGCCAAATCAAACACAATTGTGGATTGGAAAGAACAGTGGCGGAGAGCATGGTACCATCAGAGAGGGGCAGGGGCTGACCAGCATGAACATGGGCACAGGGCAAGCAATTCTTTGAACAGGAGATTACATGGACAGCATACAAAGGAATGACTGTCTTTTGAGTGTGCTGTGATGGGAGGTATGTTCTGTAAAGGACCTGTCTCATGATGATGATTTATCGCAATTATTGGTAAGCAGAGCACAGGTGACTGGTAAAAATGGCTAGACAGGTGGTTGGTGGGTAAAGAATGCAATTAAAAAAAACTGATTTTTAACTCTTTTAAACCAGATACTCTGGCATTCAGTTCACCTAAGCCGTAACCAGGACCTAGGTCAAATCTCAGTCGAGTATAGCTGTTACAGTGGTAACCTTGGACAATGTATACTTAAGAAAATACAGTATCATATGAAATCATACAGAGAGGTTGGTGTAGAAATTTTCTCCTGAAATGGTACCTATTTTCTTAACCCTCAGATTTCACTGAGCAGCTGGCCAAACATTTAAGAATGCAGGGTTCTCGAGCAGGAGACCTGGATTCAAATCCTTGGCAAATCTGGGGATTTGTTTCTGTCAGGGACACACAAAACATAAAATCCTGACATGCATAGTGTGTGGCGACAGCACTAGCCATGTGGCCCTAAATCCTCAGGCCTTAAGACTCCTCTGCCTTTACTGCAAAAGTAGTCAACACAGCAGCACTGACAGAAACAGATTTCACTGAAAGATGAATCTGACCTGTTTTCCATAGCTTCAGGCTGATTGTTTCCTGTCCACAGATCTCATAGAAAAGTTACCTTCCATGTTTTTCTTTCATGTTCACCACCTGTAAACTCTGGTGCAAAGTTCCGGATGTTTGTCCATGTTTGGGCTTCTGTTGTGTTCCAGATCCTGAGTGTTGAGTCTGTATCCATTTTACATATCTGGCTGCAGGCTGTTGGTTCCTTGAATCTCAGGCAGATGCATTATGACTTCAAAGGAAATGCCTAATTAGTCAACTCCTACAAGAGTTAAGAGAGGCAGTGAGTCCATTTTTTGTTTGCCCCACAGTGGAGCCCCAGAATCCCCACGGGGAGTCAGGTTTATCATGTTGCCTGGTCTGCACATTTCACAGAAAGGTTAATCTTACCCATTCTCCTTATCTTCAGGTTCATCACGATAGATAAACAGCCCATTCTTGCTTGCCCTGATATTGTTATCTTTGTCCTGATCACAGTAGATATTCAGACCCTGGCTGCCATCTAACCCAGGCTTAACCGCAGATGATGCACCCGGCTGTGTCTGTAGCCTGAAACAGCAGAATGACATAGATAAGGGGGAAAAGGTAACTGATAGAGAGATGTGTGAGAAAAAGATAGGTGAAAGAGAGGTACATGCCACGAGAGACATACAGACAGAGAAATGTGCCTTGTCAGAGAAAGAAAGATGTGAAATGAAAAAGAAATGTGTGCCATGAGAGGAAAATGCACTATAGGAGAGAAATGTGCTATGAGAGAGAGTTGTGCCATGTGAGAGAAGTGTGCCATATGAGAGAAGTGTGCATTGAGACAGAGGTGTGACATGAGAGCCAGAGAGGTGTGCCATGGAAAAGAGATGAGTGTGCCATGGGAGAGATGTTTGCCATAAGAGAGGTGTACCATGGGAGAGAGGTGTACCATGGGAGAGAGGTGTGCCATGTGCAGACGCTGTTAGAAACAAGAGGCACACCAAAGCTTTGGCAACGAGCGCCACAGCTTTGGCAACACTCCAAAACCTTGGCAACACAGGAAGACAGCTGGAAACACACTGGAAAAATCCTACCTTACCATCCTCAAAACTGTTTGACTGTCCTATGATGTCACTGGGGTGAATAATTGCAAAAGAACCGTGTGCTATGAAAGCAAAGAGGTGTGCCACTGAGAGAGAGAGAAAGGGGGGGGAGAGAGAGAGAGAGAGAGACGACGAACAAACTTTATTTTCAAAGGGTCACAAATTAAGCACGCAGGCCTGTCTTACAATCAGCCCTTCCAAACACCCATCTTTCACACAGCAGTTGTATTTTTATCAATAAAACATGTTACGTTCATATAATAATATGCATATTTTGAATATCAAGTAAAAAACAAAAGCATAAGTGGTAAAATGTATGCACACACTCGCGCGCGCGCACACACGCCCAAGCAAACCAATTCACTCACATACACACATATGCACCCAATACACACATAGGCACCAAATACACACATACACACACACATATCCACATACACACACATATCCACATACACACACACATATGCGTACACACACACATATGCGTACACACACACAGATGCGTACACACACACAGATGCGTACACACACACAGATGCGTACACACACAGATGCATACACATGCACGCACGCACACGCTCGCACGCACACACACACACGCACACACGCATATATGCATACATATATACATACATACATACATACATACATACATACATACATACATACATACATACATACATACATACATACATACATACATACATACATACATACATACATACATACATACATACATACATACATACACACTCATACAGTCACACACACAGACACACTCTCACAAACACACACTCTAAGACACACATGCAAACAAGCCAGTCACATACAGACACATACAGCTATTCAGACACACAAGAGGGAGAAAGGTGCTATGAAAAAGACAGAAAGAGATAGACAAATGAAGCAGACTAAGTAAATATAGGCCAGCACACACAGACATGAAGAGACAGACAGACAGACAGAACCCAGTATGAAAGACAACGGACTGAACCAACAAACAAATTTCAGCACCGAAGCCTGTAAACACGCTTGACCTTACCTCTGATCCTCCTCATCATGATAGATGAAGAGCCCTTTCTTACTCGTCCTAGCCATGCTGTCTGCAGGCTGGTCACAGTAAATATTCACACCTTTACTGGCCCCAAACCCAGCCTTGGCTTCAGACGATACAGCAGACTTGAACCTGAAACAGTGGACAGACATGTCTTGGGTCATACTGCTAGTGTAGTATTTATATTTATTAAACCAAGTTGTGGTTGGCTGTGGCTTTAGAATGCTAGGCTCTCATTTGAAAGACCTGGGTTTCTAAACCTGCATAGCTCTACTAACCTTGCAGCCATAAAACCCTAGGATTCAAAGACACACATCATAACTGGTATGTTGTGTTGTGGTGTACAGCTAGGATATGATATCTGCATCTTTCAACTAAACACGTAAGATTTAAGCAAAGATTGGTTACCTTTTATGACATGCTTGTTAAGATGACAGCGGGTATATTCTTTTTCTTTTTCATCTCTAAAACTGCCCATGATCGCCCACAAGGGATTTATAGCATCCCCAGCTGTACACACCCACAGAAAGTTCTGGCTGTTCATCCACTTCTAGACTTTGGTCTTGCTCCAGAATATGAGGATTTCGGGCACATATGTTGCGATCTCACCTCTCTTGCAGAGGTGTTCTAACTTCGAAGGATACATTCCTAATTAATTGACTTTTAAGTCATGCCTGCTTGGGGGTTGGCATCTCTATTATTTTGTTTTCCCTCAATAGGGCCCTGGAACCATATAGGAAAGACATACTCTTCATGTAGGTTAAGAATCAAAGTTCACCATACCCGTTCTCCTTATCTTCAGGCTCATCATGATAGATAAACAGTCCATTCTTTCCTGCTCTGGCAGCACCGTCTTCAGGCGGATCACAGTAAATATTGAGACCATCACTAGAAGCACCGAATGCAGGCTTCACTTCAGATTTTGGCACGGCTGGTTCAACCCTGAAACAGCACAGCGATTTAGATACTACTTTAGGGAATATTTTGTGGTGACTGTTTGCTGTTTTTGACCATTTCAGGAGAAGGAATGAACTTGAGAACTTGATTACAACTGGCAGGACTGATTGAAAAAGAGCAAGGGGATGGCAATGGTATATGGAACTGAGGCTCAGTCTCAAAAGCTATTTACACACCAGTCGATGGAACTGGGACTCAGTCTAAATAGCTATTTACACACCAGTCGATAGAACTGAGGCTCAGTCTAAATAGCTATTTACACACCGGTGGATGGAACTGATACTCTGTCTAAATAGTTATTTACACACTGGTGGATGGAACTGATACTCAGTCTCAATAGTTATTTACACACCAGTGGATAGAACTGATACTCTGTCTCAATAGTAATTTACACACCAGTGGATAGAACTGATACTCTCTCAATAGTTATTTACACACCAGTGGATGTAACGGATACTCTGTCTAAATAGTTATTTACACACCAGTGGATAGAACTGATACTCAGTCTCAATAGTTATTTACACACCAGTGGATGTAACGGATACTCTGTCTAAATAGTTATTTACACACCAGTGGATAGAACTGATACTGAGTCTCAATAGTTATTTACACACCAGTGGATGTATTGGATACTCTGTCAAAATAGTTATTTACACACCAGTGGAGAGAACTGATACTCTAAATAGTTATTTACATACCAGTGGAGAGAACTGATACTCAGTCTCAATAGTTATTTACACACCAGTGGATGGAACTGATACTCTGTCTAAATAGTTATTTACACACCAGTGGATAGAATTGATACTCAGTCTTAAGTTATTTACACACCGGTGGATGGAAATGAAACTCAGTCTTAATAACTGTTTACACATCAGTGGATTTAATTAAGAGACACCCAATCTTAGCAGCTGTTTACACATTAATGGATAGAATTAAAAGACACAATGTCAATATCTATTTACACATCAGTCTTAATAACTCAGTAGATTGAATTAAGAGACTCCCAATCTCAGCAGCTGTTTACACATTAATGGATAGAATTAAAAGACACAATGTCAATATCTATTTACTCATCAGTGGACAGAATAAAGAAACACAATCTAAACAGCTATTTACACATCAGTGGATAAAATAAAGAAACACAATCTAAACAGCTATTTACACTTTAGTGGATAAAATAAAGAAACACAATCTAAACAGCTATTTACACATCAGTTTATATAATAAAAAAACACAATCTAAACAGCTATTTACACATCAGTGGATAGAATAAAGAAACACAATCTAAACAGCTATTTACATATCAGTGGATAGAATAAAGAAACACAATCTAAACAGCTATTTACACATCAGTGGATATAATAAAGAAACACAATTTAAACAGCTATTTACACATCAGTGGATATAATAGAGAAAAACAATCTAAACAGCTATTTACACATCAGTGGATAGAATAAAGAAACAATCTAAACAGCTATGTACACATCAGTTGATATAATAAAGAAACACAATCTAAACAGCTTTTTACACATAGGTGGATATAATAGAGAAACACAATCTAAACAGCTATTTACACATCAGTTGATATAATAAAGAAACACAATTTAAACAGCTATTTACATATAGGTGGATAGAATAAAGAAACAATCTAAACAGCTATTTACATATAGGTGGATAGAAAAAGGAACACAATCTAAACAACTTTTTACACATAGGTGGATATAATGAAGAAACATAATCTAAACAGCTATTTACATAGGTTGATATAATAAAGAAACACAATCTAAACAGCTATTTACACATCAGTTGATAGAATAAAGAAACACAATTTAACTCTTTACGGACGTTTAGCCAGTATACTGGCGATTAAGTCTATCCCTTGAAGACGTAAAGCCAGTTTACTGGCTCATGATAGAGACACTCTAATTTTGTTCCGTTTGTAGGGTAAACGAACATTTATGAACAAGTTTTTTAACAATTAGGATTAACAACAGGATGTACTTTCATTTGCGGTGTTCATCGTGGTCGGTGCATTATTTTGTGATTTAAAAAAAATTATTTAGATGGGATAAAATTTGTACGTGATTTTTCTATACTAAATGATAAGGGAAAAGGTACAGAACTGTTCATACTGCTCTATCGTTGATGAATTCCTGCCAGATGGTGACAACAGTCTTGATATTATGATTGATATCTAAGGGACAAATCTACTGGCGATAATTTAGTTTAGGATATGAAAATTTTACAAAATATTTTAATTAGATCAATGTTTCGATCAGCTGTTTTTCCGATTTTCAGTTGTTAAGAAAACTTACATGTCATACAAAAATGATTATAATATCCAAAGTATTTAAATTAATTGTTTCAAATAAAGACTAGCTAATACATAATTGAACAGAGAAGGCATGTGTATTCTTAGAATTGGATAGCAGTGTTGTTGAACCAGTAAAAAATAAGGTTAGCACACAAATTTTTATGTTTAAAATTGTCATATGTGTCTAACATCCTTGAATGATGTGATTTTAATAATATCCTAATGTTATACTGACATTTAAGTAGTTTAGATTTATTCTGCACTCATTTATATTTAATTTGATATATTATAAGTCCCGATACAGCCCATACTTATTCTTCAGGAAGGTTTTGGCTTTGTCGTGTTGCACTAAACAAATTCCGCTTAAAATTAATGCTGTCCAAACCCCAAAAATAATGCCGTCCTAAAAGAGTTAAACAGCTATTTACACATCAGTGGATAGAATAAACACAATCTAAACAGCTATTTACACACAGGTGGATATAAAGAAACACAATCTTACAGCTACTTACACATCAGTGGATATAATAAAGAAACAATCTAAACAGCTATTTACAATCAGTGGATAATAATTAAAAAACAGAATCAAAACAGCTATTTACACATCAGTGGACAGAATAAACATACTTTCTCAATCCCAAATGACACCTTATTTTTAGATTTAAGAGACTTAAATGTAGTAACCATTTACACAATGGTGCACATAATGTGGGAGACTCTCTCAATCCCAAAAGCTATTTACGAGGACATACTAGTGACGAGGAAACTTTTTCTTCTTCTTCTCAGTGTTCACCAGCAGCTGTAAACCCTGGAGGAAAGTTCTGGTTGTTCATCCATTTCTGGACTTTGGCCTTGTTCCAGAACTTCAGTTTAGCATTTGCATCCATATTAGAAATCTGGCTTATTTGTATGCAGCCTGCTGGAACATCGTCTCACAGGCAGATGCCTTCTGACTTTAAAAATATTGCCCCCCCCCCCCTTTTGCACTTAACTTAGTAACTCAGCCAGTGAAACTAGATTACCATTCATATGTGTAAACTGCATTAGAAAAACTATGTGGGAAGTAATGATAACTTTGAAGCTTAACATTCTGCCATGCCTAGTCCCTCATTTTAGACCAGAATTCCATATTTTGTATATTTATAAACAGCGAGATAAAGTGGATGCAAAGACAGGATTCGAAATTAATTTAAAAATCTCAAAGGATACTTACATATTTTCTTTACCATCATCATCATCATCACAATAGAAGTTAATCAATCCTTTCTTGACTGAAGCACTTTTCAGACACTGTCTTTCTGGTTGAAAGGAAGAGGCGATGTCTTCATGAATCCCAAACGTCAACTGCTTACTGGCACTTGGGGCTGTTCCTGCAAAATGAAGAAATAGCAACCACTGTTGGGAACCTTTCTTTGTTCTTCTTAGCATTTACCAGTTGTAAAATCCAGCGGAAAGTACTTGTTTGTTTCTGAAATCTGGTCTTGTTATGAATTAGGTTTTCCCCCTTTGAGGCCGGATGGCATCTGCCCCAGAAGGAAGGCATCACAAGTCTGCATACAATAAAGCCAGGCGTGTAAAACAGAAGGGCATGCAAAACTCTGGAACAGTACCAACCTCTAGAAGTGGACGAACCAGTGTGGGTTCAGGATACTTGTTCTTCTTAAAGTCCATGCTGTGTGGCGCTCGTAGTCATGTCCATCCGCAACCTTCTGCATCGTGTACTTTCAATCAATACTGACATAGATGATCCTCCATGCCATGATGTCAAACTGTTTAGCATCTGTTCTCTCTGTCTCTCTGCCTCTCCTCCCCTACAACTTTCTTACTGTCACAATGTACTCTAGTTTTCTCCTTCTCATCACATGACCAAACAATGTAGATTGTTTCCTTCTGACAAAGGGCAATCAGTTCCCTTCCTGAGGGGTTCTATTGTGAGGAAAACAAGAACTGACCCACTGCCTGCCAAAAAGGATGTCACAAGAGTTAACTAACTGGGAGCCCCCTTCAAAGTCAGAGTGCGTCTACCTGAGAGGCAAGGAACCACAACAGTCTGCATGCAAGTGAGTCAGACCTGTAAAACAGATGTGCATGCAACATTCAGGTTCTGGAACGAGACTGGAGTCCAGAGGTAGAAGAACAACCAGAGCTTTCTGAATGCTAAAAAGAAGTTCCTAAACGAGCTGTGATCACTTGGAGTCCACACATTTAAATCACATGTTTGAATCACAGTGTGGTCGTTGCTTCTTTCAATTGCAATGTCTAATATTGTCTAGGGTGTCTTCTAATCTTCTTCTTCTTTGCGTTCAATAGCTGTAAACTGGCGGAAAGTTCTGGTTGTTTATCCACTTTTGGACTGCATTCCTGTTCCAGAATCCGAGTGTTGCGTGTGCATTTGTTTTAAAGATATGACTCATTTGTAGGCAGACTGTTGGTTCCTTGTCTCTCAGACAGATGCACTCCGACTTTGAAGGAAGCTCCCAGTTCGTCGACTCTTACGACATGCTTGTGGGTTGTTAGTGGTTCTATTCTTGTTTTCTCTGTAATAGGGCCCCGGAACCCACATGGGGACTTCTAATCTATGTTTTCTTCTCACTCATCAAAGAAGCATCACCCTGCTTTAGCAGACTGGTGTGGGTGATCATGCTTTTCCACACTCTAATTTTCATAAACATGTATCAGTTGATATGTTGATACCCATCCTTGAAATGACAAAAGACTGTCAAGAACCACCTTGCATTGTCTTCCTCTGTCTCTCTTTTTTTTTTTTAACAAATCTTTTCAATGGTCAAACCATGTTTTAGCTTTATTTGTCAATGAAATTTTCTTCTACGCACTCACCAGCTGTTTAACTCCAGTGGAAATTTCTGGTTGTCTGACCACCTCTGGACTTTAGTCTTGTTTTAAACTGAATGTTGCACCTGCATCTGTTTTACATATCTGACATTTTTCAATGCAGACTGTTGGTTCCTTGCCTAAAAGGCAGATGCACTCTGACTTCAAAGGAAGCCCCATAATTATTTGATTCTTACAACATGCTTGTTGGGAGGACAGTGGGTCTATTCTAGTTTTCCCCTAAAACGGGGCCCCACATTCAAAGAATAGTAAAACTATAATCAACTATGCATGTCATAAGAGGCAATCAAGCTGGGGTCAAATGGCTACATAGTTTTGTAGAAAACTTTAGCTGCAAAATACAATAAGCACGAAAAAGTCTTCAGCTGATATAAGTTGGTGGAGGTGGAGTCCACAAGGGAACCAAATAGTAGTAGAACTGTTACCTACCATGCATGTCATAAGAGGAGACCAAGGAAGATTGGTTGAAACCGCTACCTCATTCTGTGGAAATCATTTGTAGTAAAATCCAAGCAAGCATAAACAAGTTGACCAAGATCCTGACATAAGCTGGTTGAGGACCTATGTTTCAATACTTTTATTCTGCGATCACTTCTTAAAAAGGCCTTCAGCTCACTGACTTGTAGTTTCCAATTTGCCTGCGATATCTGCACCTTTCAGCCTAACACATCCAAATTTAGTAATCATTCTTATTAGGGGATCAGTGGGTCAACCCCCCCCCCCCCCACCCACCCCAAGGGTTCTCAGAACCCGTATAGCATCTTTTCCAGTGAAAATTTAAGGCAGATAATGTTTTAAAAGCTTTAAAAGCTAACAAGGTACTGTACTGTAAAATGAACTTACCATGAAGCGCCGCCAAATCATCAGAGATGGACTGTTCATCAGTCATGAATGAGGTGCTGAACATCCCCATCACACACTGGAGGGCTTCTTTAGTGTACACTGTGGGTGAGGGTGCAGTCAGACACTGAAATGAAATCAGTTTTCGGTGTTGTTAGAAACAATGCTAACTCCAGGAAGACAGACAGCAAACAAAGCTAACTCTATCACCCAGGAAGACAGACAGCAAACAAAGCTAACTCTATCACTCAGGAAGACAGACAGCAAACAAAGCTAACTCTATCACCCAGGAAGACAGACAGCAAACAAAGCTAACTCTATCACCCAGGAAGACAGACAGCAAACAAAGCTAACTCTATCACCCAGGAAGACAGACAGCAAACAAAGCTAACTCTATCACCAAGGAAGACAGACAGCAAACAAAGCTAACTCTATCACCCAGGAAGACAGACATTTTAACAAAGCTAACTCTATCACCCAGGAAGACAGACAGCAAACAAAGCTAACTCTATCACCCAGGAAGACAGACAGCAAACAAAGCTAACTCTATCACCCAGGAAGACAGACATTTTAACAAAGCTAACTCTATCACACCCGTGCAGCCAACGCTATCACCCATTTTTTTTTTAAACAGGACCAGAACTAGATCCCAAACATGCTACATCTTTCTGGGTACCGAGTTGGAATTTGTTGCCTATGAAACATTGAAAACCTGTGAAGGAAACATGACCAATTATTACCGATTTAAGAATCAACTTCTAGGCCATTTTCCCAAACAGTGCGCCGCGGCGCCCTGGGGAGCCGCGACCTCTTCACAGGGGCACCGTGAGATATTGTAAAAGCTTCATAATTAGTTTAACCAGGACACAAATAGTCATACTTTTACTCAAGTTAGGGCGTCGTAGAAAAATTTTAATTGAAAAAAGTGCCTGACTAAGAAAAGTTGAGCAAACACTGCTCTAGGCATTTCCACAAATGTCTTACGGTGTAGATGCTGACCACTTCAGTATCACACTAGTTGTACAAACATAATAGTCTTCCTCTCACACGTCATTTCATTCAAACTTAATTCCAAGTTCATGTATACTTACACACGTTTTATCTAACATCATATTTTTTTCCATCACCATTTGTTGACAGATGGTAAACATGACTAGCCTAGCCTTTTTCTTCGCCTCTGGTCTTTAGTCTTCTTCCAGAAGCTGAGTGTTGCATGCACATCTGTTTTACAGATCTTGCATATCTGTATGCAGATTGTTGGTTCCTTGCCTCTCAGGCAGATCCACTTCGTATGATAGCCCCAATTAGTCGACTCTTAGACATTCTAGTTGAGGAAGCAGTGTGCCTATTCCTGTTTTCTCTAAAACAGGGCCCCTGAACTCACATGGGGGACAACCAGTCTAACCATAATCCAGTTAGTTCATTTCTACTGTCTTGAACCAAGACTTAGTGACATCTTATCATGTCCCTCCCAGAGCTTAATCTTCTTGTGTTTAGCCTTTAGAAAGCCAGTTTGCAAATGTTGCTGCTTAGAGCCAGGCCACGATATCTGCAACTTTCAGCCCAACACATCTGATTTCAGCAAACCCTTGATTGTCTGATTGGCCCCTGTCCATCTTTATAGCATGGAGTTTCAGGATAGTTGCTGTCAATATTTGTGTTTAGTCTGTTTCTTCTCATCCTTTCTGCAATCATTTCTTCCTTCATTCTCTTTCCCTTCTTTATGTGCCACCTCCACACAACATTGTCCATGACATTTTATTCCCAGGAATCCACATGAATACATGTATCATTCATGTCCCGCTTGCATACAGCTTTATATCGTAGTAGAGGTCAGCCTCAACATCTTCTACTCGTCTCTAATTTACCACAAATTATGTCCTTAGGGACTCTGCTATCCTCCATTCTCCAGGCCTAATTAGACGCTGTTGATGACAGGGTTACAGAGCCGTCAAGTACATGTATGGACCCTTCTCCATGCCTTCAGGGTTACTGGGCACATGGCGCTAGACCTATATTTTATAGACCAAGCAGCACTCGGTGGACGATGTGGTCAACATCACATTGGCCACTTTTACTTCCCAGGACTTCTACCTGGTACCCATTTCAGCTGGGTCGATCTGGGAGCTGACATCGCTTTTTTTAAAGTCCGGCTCCGGTTACAGAGCGGTGGGTGTAATATATCCCCCCCCCCCCCCCCCCTCTCACCAGAGCCCACTCAGAGAATCTGCCATGAGTTGAAACGTGCAGTCTTTGAGAAGATTCGGCCTACCAACAATCCCCCAGTTTGGTACAGAAAGGAAATCTCATGTCTTGAACGAGACAACAAATAGACAGACAACTCACCTCTTTTGGGCCAAAGCCTGGTCTTTTTGAGTTGGCCCGCCTCTGTTTAGACACACTGGAAGAGCCTGACGTGTTTGTGGATATCTCAGTGCTGGGTGAACCCATGATGCATTCAGTTGATGGATGATTACTCTCCATAACTGTGGTGCTGCCTGGCCCGGCAGATGCTGCAGTAAATGTACTAGGTTGACTGCTGAGAGATGCACTGCTGTTCATGGTCACAGGGAAGCTGTTACTGCTGTTCATGGTCACAGGGGCGCTGTTACTGCTGTTCATGGTCACAGGGGCGCTGTTACTGCTGTTCATAGTCACAGGGTTGCTGTTACTGCTGTTCGATGCTGACACACTTGAGGATTCCAACGATGGATTACTGCTAGATGTGATTGCATGAAAACCTTGCAAACGGGAGCGGTTTAAGGATGATGATGAGTTCAGAGAGTAGGTGGAGGCGTTGTTGAAGATCGGTGTCCTCAAGCTGCCTTTAGTAGAAGCACAGTGGGGATTACTTGGCCTTGCTGCAAATAAATTATCGACATCAAAGATTTTAGTTAGTCAGTCTTTCCTCTTGATCCTAGGGGGGCGCAGAGGTCATTGCTTTCCTTGACTGGCAGTTCACTGCCAGCAGATTTAGGTCTTGGATGTTCATTAGGTCCATGGTTGAGCCTTCCCTGATGATCTTTCTACGCAGTCTCTCTTGGTCTTCCCCATTTTCTTTTTCCTTCCGATGTCCATTTGAGGGCTTGATGAGGAAGTTTTGTCTCATCCATTCTGAGTGCATGGCTGATGTGTTAGTGTTTTTTTTTTTTTTAATTCAGAAACCATGAATTGTTAACCCTTTGGCTCGATACTATGGATATCGCAACCCTTCGGGCTTGATTCCATGATAGATACCATAAATCTGGGAGAAATGTGGCTTTTCTGCCTACCCATGGGCGTGAACCTGGGCCACAAGGAGTTCATCACCCTGTGACCTGTCAGTCCAGTTTAGCCAACTGCGCTAGCGAGCCAGACATGTGTTAAGTATATTACTGCAAGTAAAAGTATCATAGCCACCAAAAACATCAGTTGTTTGCTGTTGTCATAGCCACCAAAAACATTAGTTGTTTGCTGATGTTAACCCCAGTGCTATAAATCTTTTCCCCTCAAGAAGCCTGCCAATTTCTTTATTAAACTGATGACTTTTATCTACTCCTCTAAGGAGAGGAAGAAAGATTAATTCCAATGATATATGCTAGAAAAAAAAACTTACCTAATGCCAATCATTTTCCAGAAGACATGTTTCAGGATAATACTGCAAATCTTTTGGCCAAATAAGATCGCAAATAAAGAATGAATCAATGAAAAATGAAGAAAAATGGAGAATGAAAAACATCCTTGCAATCTGGACATTCCCACAAGTGTCTAAAGAGAATGAGACATCTGGGTGTAACTAGAGGGTCTGGCTGGCTCACTACACTCAGAGGAAAGGCAAGGCAGACATTTAACCAGATAGTGACCAGTACCATAAGTACTGGAACTCTGCTGTGGCTGCTGAAGATGAGGTCAGAGCAGGCATGGGAATGCTCCGAGTGCTGTGATGTTAATTCTTGACTCAACTCAACCCAACCAGTACTCCATCTCTTGTTGCAGTAGCCAACAAAGAGTCGATATACTGATAGTACCTGTGGCAACCTGATTAGAAGTCCGCCTATGTTTTACCTCACGTGTTGAAAATCTTCCAGACCCCCATGCTCACTTCTCGCTGAATTAGTCTATCAATGTATGAATACTTTGTATGCTCTGTTGTACTGCCCACTTGATCCCAGAGAGCCTTCACCACTTCAGCTTTATAATAACGAAGCTCACCACCCATAGGAACAGCAGCAGTCAATCTATCAGCCTGCTCGTTATCTCACACACCCAAATACACACAACAGAAAATCCACAATATGCTCCTGATCAGACTTTTATCAAGCGAAGAAAGCCACTCTATACGCAGGATGCCCGTTTCTATATTACGAAGCATGCTCTGGGAGTCCTTCACAATGACCACACATTGAGCTGTGCTGTTCTCAAGCTACTGGAAAGCTTCCACTGCCACCTCTACCTCTATTCTGGTTTAAGGAAATGAGGAAAACAAAATGTTCATCACCGGCAAATGTTTTCAAAGGAAGCAAACAGAGACAGCTTGGACACGTTAGCAAAATGCCTTGTGTCACTTTGGCAAGGATTTCTCCGATGGACCGCAGACGGGAAAAAAGATCTGGACAATCTCAGAAAACCTGGAGACGGACAGGAGGAAGTGAATCAAGGAATGTGAAAGGACAAGGGATGCCATGAGCATAAAAGCAGGTAACCAGCAGCAGTGAAGATATTCTTATTCTTCTTTACCGGCTGTAAAAGCTGGTGGAAAGTTCTAGTTGTTTTGCCCGCAAATCAGTTTACAGATTTGGCCTATCAGTATGCACACTGTTGGTTGCTCGCCTCTTAGACAGATGCACTGACTTCTAAAGAAACATCACTAATTAGTCAACTCTTACAAAATGCTTGGGGGGAGGGGAGAGAAGGGGTTTTTTTTTTAGTGTCCTAATCGCGCCCCCCCCCCCCCCCTGCACTTAACTTAGTAACTCAGCCAGTGAAACTAGATTACCATTCATATGTGTAAACTGCATTAGCAAAACGATGTGGGAAGTATAAAGATAACTTTGAAGCTCAACATTCTGCCATGCCTAGTCTCTCATTTTAGACCAGAATTTCATATTTTGTATATTTATAAACAGCGAGATAAAGTGGATGCAGCAGTGTAAACCACCCTGTTCTAATTACCTTGGCTGGCTGCAGGAGTGACCAAGCTACTGGAGAGTGTTGCAGCAGCAGACTCTGTTGGTGTGATGAAGCTACTGCAGGTCATCGTGGCTGCCATGTTGGTCGGAGTGATGAAATCACTAGAAGTGGCGGCTTGAGTATCCATCACGTCGGTTGGTGTTACAAAGCTGCAAGAATTGGAATTTGTGTTGTGTCTATCCTGCTGTTCATGTGGGTCCTCAGCTCTGCAGAAGACAAAAAATCAAAGTCCTGAATACAAAAAATACATGTTCTTTCAGGGATACCAACTCATAGGAAACATAAGGGGAGAGTGGGGGGAAGGGGGGTCCTCAGGTCCTTTTCTAATTTCCTGGGGGTGGGAAGGGGGGGGGCCTCAAGAGGTATAATTAATTATAAGTTGCATATTCTTTACAGGATGTTGCAGAACCAACACCCAGTGTTTCCTGGCCGCTGTGGTTTTTCTAGGCAAATTTACGTCCAGTAGTTTGCCATTGCTTTCTGGACGGTCGGCTTCTCGATACCACTGTTGAAACCAATGCAAGACAAAAAGCCCACAGCTGGGATCAAACCCGGCAGCCCGGCATTACGAAGCATTTTTGCAATGCCTAAGCCACAGACGCTGACCTAAGAGGTCTAAGCCACCTTCTTCTTAGCAGTCACCAGGTGTTAACTCTGATAGAAAGTTCTGGTTGTTTAGCCACTTCTGCCATGTTCCAGAACCTAGAGTTTTGTACGTATTATCTGTTTTACACATCTGGCCTTTATTTTTTTGGGTTTTTTTGCTGTTAGTTCCTTGCGTCAGACAGAAACACTCAGACTTCGAAGAAAACACCTATTTTACATCATGTTTTACGACATGCTTGCTGTGGAAACAGTGGGTCTATTCTTTTCTCCCCCAAATGGGAACCCAGACCCCTTACAAGGAGTGTAAATGATTATTAATAATAATAATAATATGCCTTACAAGGGTCTAGTGGCTAGATGCTGTGGATGAAGGTTATTACATCCCGACTTTTTTCAAAAATGACCTTGGCTTTCAGGTCGACCCAGCCTTGAGTGGGTACCAGGTACAGTCATGGAAAGTGGAGGCAGCCGGCATGATGCTGACTTCATCATCCTCCAAGTGCTGTTCAGTCTATAAAATATAGGTCTAGCCCTATATACCCAATACGCCGTAGGGTCTAGTGGCTAGATGCTGTGGATCGGAAGGTCATAAGTTCGGGTCCTGACAGGGCTCCCGACTTTTTTCAAAAGGTCGACCTCATATCTCATGATGCCAGTTTTACTTTACTTACTTTACTAGTATGGCAAATTAAAATAATACATATCTGAAGAAAATATATTGCATACAAACAAAAACCTAAAAAGAACATCTATACATGGATGGTCGGAGGAAGGAAAAAAAGGGGAGGGGGGGTTAACTCCCTCACAAATTAGGTGTAGAGGGCGGGGCTGGGATATTCAGAGCATTATATATTTTTTTCAATTGCATTTATATTATCTTTTTCATTATAATTTCCCCCTCTAGTTCCCATGTGTCATTTTGTAATTATCGTCCTGATTTTCCCCAATGGTGTTACTGTGCCACCTTCCTGCTTGTTTACAACAGCACAACAAGATGATGATGATGAAACAACAAGTTTTCAGCACTCTGAACTCACCTCTGAATAAATGCGTGCCCATCAGTTTCGGCCGCCATCTCAGAAATGCGTTGAACATTGTTGGACATGAGTGCTTGTGTTTCCTCAATTTGTTGGGTTAATTCTAGCTGCTGTACCGCGTAGCGCTGATGCTGGACGTCATGGTCAGCAGGTCTGAGGGAAGACATGTATTTCAGTAGTAAAACCCACGCAACAAGGTATACTGAAGCGTGTGTCACAAGTAAAACCCACGCCACAAGGTATACTGAGGCGTAGGTCACTAGTAAAACCCACACCACAAGGTATACTGAAGCATATGTCACTAGTAAAACCCACGCCACAAGGTATACTGAGGCGTGTGTTACAAGTAAAACCCACACCACAAGGTATACTGAGGCGTAGGTGACTAGTAAAACCCCCACCACAAGGTATACTGAAGCATATGACACTAGTAAAAGCCACGCCACAAGGTATACTGAGGCATACATCACTAGCAAAACCCACGCCACAAGGTATACTGAGGCGTACGTCACTAGTAAAACCCACGCCACAAGGCATACTGAGGCGTACGTCACTAGTAAAACCCACACCACAAGGTATACTGAGGCGTACGTCACTAGTAAAACCCACGCCACAAGGTATACTGAGGCGTTGGTCACTAGTAAAACCCACGCCACAAGGCATACTGAGGCGTACGTCACTAGTAAAACCCACACCACAAGGTATTCTGAGCCAGTTATAGGTAGGACACCGCCTTAATATAACTGTTTTATGTGGCTCAACAGGGTTTCTAGGATTTGTACCCTGTTTGATTCTCGTTCTTGAGGTGTTAATCCTTCAGACTGCAACTCTGTAAGAAGAAAAAAAAACTACCTATCCTACACTGTCACATGATCAGGCAGAAATTTGTGTAGCCCACCTAGACCTTTCTGCAGCCCACCTAGATCCTTTCTGCAGCCCACCTAGATCCTTTCTGCAGCCCACCAAGATCCTTTCTGCAGCCCACCAAGATCCTTTCTGCAGCCCACCAAGATCCTTTCTGCAGCCCACCAAGATCCTTTCTGCAGCCCACCAAGATCCTTTCTGCAGCCCACCAAGATCCTTTCTGCAGCCCACCAAGATCCTTTCTGCAGCCCACCAAGATCCTTTCTGCAGCCCACCAAGATTCTTTCTGCAGCCCACCAAGATCCTTTCTGCAGCCCACCTAGACCTTTCTGCAGCCCGCCCAGATCCTACTGCAGCCCACCCAGATCCTACTGCAGCCCACCAAGATCCTTCTGCAGCCCACCTACATCCTTTCTGCAGCCCACCTAGACCTTTCTGCAGCCCGCCTAGATCCTTTCTGCAGCCCGCCTAGATCCTTTCTGCAGCCCACCTAGATCCTTTCTGCAGCCCACCTAGATCCTTTCTGCAGCCCACCTAGATCCTTTCTGCAGCCCACCTAGATCCTTTCTGCAGCCCACCTAGATCCTTTCTGCAGCCCACCTAGATCCTTTCTGCAGCCCACCCAGAGCTTTCTGCAGTCCACCTAGATCTTTCTGCAGCCCACCTAGATCCTTCTGCAGCCCACCCAGACCTTTCTGCAGCCCAACTAGATCCTTCTGCAGCCCACCTAGATCTTTCTGCAGCCCACCAATTGAAGAACAATGCCATAAACCCCAGTAAATCAAGAGGTAAAGAAAAGGCGCTGGCGTTACATAGGACACACAATGAGAAAACCTGAGAACAATATAATTAGAATGTCTTTGCACTGGAACCCACAGAGGTATATGAATAAAGGAAGACCCCAAAAAAGCACGGAGAAGGGATCTGATGAGTGAAGTTAAAAAGATGGGAAGGACATGGAGAGAGCTGCATGTGATAGTAAGGGATAGAACGACAGTGTGAGTTGGTTAAGGGCCTATGCTCCAGTGGGGGGTTAGAAAGGCAGATGAAGAAGCTCTAAACCACACAGCCCGTTTGGAGTCACTAATCTTAGGACAAACATAAAGTACTAGATGTGTACATGTGCCAGCATTTACCTGTTGAAGTTCAAACGATTCACCTGTGCCTGCAACTGGGCTAACTTCTCGGCCATCTCTAACATCTGTTGTTGCATTCGTTCCTGGTGCAGTCTTTGCTCCTCTGTCAAAAGGGAAAGCAATTGCACAGATATGTAGAAAAATTTGTCAACAGTCTTTCAAATCTGATCAACTCATCTTGCCTTTCCTCTAAATGAAGCATATCAACTAGATGCCCTGGAGTTGAGTTAAGTTGATTCAAAATAAGACATCACAGCACCCTTTGTATTTCCAAAGTTGATTCAAATTAAGACATCATGGCACCCTTTAAATTCCCATAAGCACTATATCCCCATCTTTAGCAGCCATTGCAGAGTTCCAATACCAAATGTGCCAGTAGAAGTCTGATTTTAAGCTTCTCCTCTGAGTGTCGTGTATCGGCAAATCACCTCGTCGCTCCTCAGTGCATCACTCTCTCCAGACTGTGATGATCAATTTGCTATTCCAATTTGTACACATGCTGATCTCATAAGGCCTTAACCCTACCAGACCTGAGGCCCTAAACCAGGGCTATTCAACTAAGTTTACAGAGGGGCCAAAATTTGGAAAATGAGGATCGTCACGGGTCAGAGGGCTAAACCTTAGCATAGAAAGATCACTAATACAATACAGCTGAAAACGATGCGCGGGCCACTTGTTAGGCCTCCGCGGGCCAGATTTGGCCCGCGGGCCGCCAGTTGAATAGCCCTGCCTTAAACCTAACTGCCCTCTAACCCTGGGCTGCTGGCCATTAACGCGAAAAAACCAACATGATATACAAAAATATTAGTTACATACAAACAAGTGGTTGGAATAAGATGAAACTTAAGAGACATTGTAAAAAAATAGGTTTACTTTTCATCAAGCGCCAGTATTCCACCTTTGTGTGCCAATCCACACAGAGGGATGAGCCTTGTTTCACAAAGTAAGCACTAGATGTTGCTGTTTGAGGGACACCTCCCCCCACCATTCTCTTACTACCGATCTAGTTCTAGATCTATAAGGTTCAAGATTCTCCTCATCACTTGAGCTCTCACAGTTTGTGTGTCACTGGAACTGGGGACGTATTCTTGATGAAATTCTGACTTCTCCCGAGTCTGAATCAACCAAAGTATCGATCACCTGTTGGGCTGTGAAAAGCCTAGACCTACTTTGCTTTCCCTTCGAAGTGCTTGGTTCATCAGCCGTTCGTTTCATTGCGAATTTTCTGAATTCTGTCACGTTAGACCACACAAAGTAAACCCAAACACATAGGGTCAGCCTTTTGCAATGGCTAACAATGAGGTTTTACCACGACTGGCTGGCTATTTTCAGTACGCAAAGTACCGAAAATCAAGTACAGCGGTTAAGAGGCAGATTAAGAAATTCCCGGAAAAACAATACAGCAGTCTGGTAGAGTTAACCACGTCTGCCCTACCATGCATCAATATTCCACCAAGTTGTGCAGAGCCAGCCAACTGCACTGTCGTATGGCAGTTTTGTCGCGCACCTTACTTACAGGATATTTTCACAAATCCCTCAGGTGCTCTGAGACAGGAGTGTTTTGAATGGTGGCTCTCGTTCGTCTAGAGGCCTAACCCTCGGTTCAAACTTTCCATTCAACCTGTCTCAGGGATGAGGTGACACGAGCTCTGACTCCACAGGGTTATTATGAACACTTGGGTACCTCTCGGCCAGACGTCCTCACCACTGTTTGCCCCCAGACTGGATTAATGTAAATCCAGTCGAACAAATAATCAACAGTGAATACGATAAGACAAGACTACGTTTATAAATGCCACAAGGAACTCCAATTAGACAAAACTCTCCTAAGAACTAGAAGGCGGATGAACTCGAGAATCAATGTAATAGGTTCCCTGTAACCAAGCTGAAGAAAAATAACTTGAAGAATTAACTGAAAGAATATTGAATACTTTCAAGAACAAAGTTAGTGCGAGTGTCTTCCTCCTATTCTACGTTTCTGTCCAGTATCATCATGGCAGAGGAATCTGATGGATTGGAAAGGTGCACTTAGATTTAAGCCGTCATACGGGTCACTCTGACTTATCTGTTTAGATCTTATGTCTCCTCTGGATGCTGGAGCGAAGTTTCCGACTACCGTACTTTACGATAGGACTTCTCAGAAACGAGGCTGCTTCTCTGGATGCCGGAATAGATCTTCACGTCGCCATACTTCCCAACATTATTTCACCAGCAGGAACAGTTTCTGGCGTTGATCGAGAACAATCACCTTGAGCTCGGAAGACGACGACTCAAGTATCGTCCACACGTTCAGGACCACAATTCACCACATGTAAATTGCTTAATGTGTAGTGGCAGAAGGAACCAGTCTACAAGACACTGACACTTGTTGGATCTTCATAACCCATTGTAAATAAAAAAGAGAACAAGGAATCTTGTCTGTATAACGGTCAATTGGCGAGACACAAGGAAAAACGCCTGCCTCCAAGACCGGACTGTAGAGAGTGACGCACACAAACACGTCCCCTAACAACAGCAGTTAGCGTACGAATTGCGCTCACTAATGCAGTGCAGTGGTCAGACAATTTATTTAGAATAGGCGCAGAAAATGTGTCCTAACATTCAATTCGACACTCAAAGCCTAAAAGAGTCATTATCAAAGGGTTTTATATGGATTTTTCCTATCAGGACTCCCCCACAACAAACGAACTATCTAACTATGCTTGGCCTATTCTATTACATAGTTACGATGACGAGTTTAGGGTGGTCAGCTATATGGACCTTCCTGCTGTGGCAGATGTGTGGATGCGGTCATGCGACATGCACCAATCTCATCAGACCGTAAGGATCTTCTTCTTCTTCACGTTCGCCGGCTGTAAAACTCAGGTGGAAACCTCTGGTTGTTCATCCACCTCCGGACTTGTCTTGTTTCAGAATCTAAGTGTTGCGTATACGTTCATTTTACGTATCTGGATTATCTGTATGCAGACTCCTGGTAACTTGCTTCTCATGCAGACTGCATACCGACTTCAAAGAAAGCTCCAGAAAATTCTACTCTTACGCGATGCTTTTTGGTAAACAGAGAGCCTATTCTTGTTTTCCCTACAGTTGGTTGGTCCCGGAACCCACACAGGGGTAATAATCCTTCTATGCTGTGGCTCAGGCTTCTGGTCCATGATTCCTATTTTCAAAATTGTGGTCCTTGAGTTTAAAAAATAGTTGACTAGTCCCACATGATGGCATGCACACGATGGGGTCAATAAACAAACTCACCTTCTTTGCGTAGCCTCTCTGCCTCAACCTGCTTCTCCTTCTTGGCCCTCCAGTACTTGATAGCTTTCAGCTCCTCGAAGCTGAACTCCGACAGCCCATTGTAAATCTTATCCTTCTGGTACATTGGGATCTCCATCAGGCAGTTGGCTCCAGCTGGGGGTCTCCTTAAGTTGCTGAGCACATCTGTCTGCTGGGCCTTGCGAGAGCTGCTTGTACAACAACAGGAAAACACTTCAGCAGTGAATAAACAGTACTTGTGTAAAACAACAGGAAAACACTTCAGCAGTGAATAAACAGTATTTGTGTACAGCAAATGTGATGGGACATCTGTAAGAGAGACTAGCTAGAAAGAGGCCAGATATACGGTGTGATATACGGAGGATGAAACTGTGGGGGGAGGGGGGGGGGAGAGTGTGGTGGTAGTGGGATTAAGCTTAGAGAGAAACTAGGTGTACAAAAAGAAAGAGACTACAAAGTGAGAATCTTTTCTTTGGGAGAACAGAGTGAAGAAAGAGACAAGACAAACAAAGAGAGAATGAGAGACTACTTACAAAGATTAGACACAGACTGACTACAGAGATCTCTATTGTGTGGGTTCTGGGACCCCGCTGTTGGAGAAGGGGGGGGGGGGGGGGTGGTTACTAATTAGGGGTTTCCTTCGAAGTCTAAGTTAATCTGCCTAAGATCTGTAAAACAGATGTGTATGCCAAATTGATGTTCTGTAACAAGACTAAAGTCCAGAAGTGGGCGAACAACCAAAACTTTCAGCTGGAGTTTACAGTGATGTACGCAAAGAAGAAGAAGAAGACTATAGAGAGAGATTGACAAACAGAGAATGAAAAAAAAATAGACAGAGAGTGAAAAGAGATAGGACAGAGTAAAAAAAAGAATAGGCAGTGAGTTAAAAGAGATAAGGCAGAGAGGGAAAAAAAATAGACAAAGAGTGAAAAGAGAAGACAGCGGAGAGTGAAAAAAAAAAGAATGGGCAGTGAGTTAAAAGAGATAAGACAGAGAATGAAAAAAAGAATAGACAGAGAGTGAAAAAAAAAGAATAGGCAGTAAGTAAAAAGAGATAAGACAAATAGAGAGAAACAGAGACTAGACATATACTGACTAGAGACACTGAACAGAAAGATGAGAAACTAAATATGCAAAGAGAAAGAGAAACTAAATAAAAGACAGAAAGGAAAGGAGAAATACTAGACAGATATAAAAAAAAAAAGAGATCTGACAAAAGTGAGAGAATAGAAGAGCAGAAAATGTTTAGAACCAACAGCGCTCTCTGAAATGTTATCACTGTCACCTTTATATTATTCTGCCAAGTTTTCGGGTTCTGTGAAAATGCTTCTTAGAAACCTGAACATCAACCCTCATTTATCTTTATCACAATTCATTCTTTGTGTGTTCCAGAGCCCCTATAAGAAGCAGGTTATAAAAGTCGACTAAAAAGAAGTGTTTCCTTCAAAATCTGCCTGAGGTGAGGAACCAACAGTCTGCTCACAAATAAGCCAGATCTGTAAAAAGGATGTGCACACAGAACTTCTGGAACAGGGTCAACGTCCAGAAGTGGATAAACACCCAAAACTTCTGGCTTGAGTTGACAGCCAGGGAAGGCAAAGAAGATGAAGAACAGAATTCATCAACTGCCACACATGTTGAATGTTGAACACTGAATTAAGAATCCACATCACAGCACTCGGGACACCCCTATATGTGCTCCGTCCCCATCTTCAGCAGCAAGCAAAGAGTTAAAATTCCGATGGTACCAGTAACTGTCTGATTGTATATCCGTCTTCCGCTTTCTCTGAATGTCGAGCGCCGGCCAGATCCCCTTGTAACTTCTCGCAGTGCCATTCTCCTCAGACCGTAATGATCTATCTGTACCTTGGCACTGTTTACTCGCTCCCAAAGGGCCCTCACAACATCCAGCTTGTCATACATCAATTCACCATCAACTGGTGCAGAACCGGTCACTCTGCCTGCTCATTTCCCAACACACCTGCATGACCTGGGAAAAATATCCAAAGGATGCTAACTACCAGGTCCCCATGTGAGTTCCGGGGCCCCATTGTAGGGGAAAACAAGAATAGACCCACTGCCTCCCCAAAAGCATGTCGTAAGAGTCAACTAACTGGGGAGCTTCCTTTGAAGTCAGAGTGCATCTGCCGGAGAGGCAAGGAACCAACAGTCTATTTTAAGAGAATTAGATCTGTAAAACTGATGCACACGCAACACTCAGGTTCTGGAGCAGGACTGCAGTTCAGTGGTGGACGAGCAACCAGAACTTTCCGCCAGAGTGTACAGCTGATGAACGCGAAGAAGAAGAAGAAGCTAACTACCCGGGACCTTTGAAATGATGCTTGCCACTCTGCACGGAGCATGCACAGGTGTAAGCAATTACATGACACACTAAGTACTCAATTCAACAAAAAATAACATGCTTCACGGCTAGTACACCATACATACCTCAGAGGCTGGGTGTTGATCAGGGTAGTTTTCCTTGGTGTTCTGTAAAGAAAGAGGAAAATTTAGGTCAGATGTAGAGAAGCCCTTTCACCATGCTAAAATAAGTAAGAAGAGATCCTTCTTCTTCTTCTACAAAATTGCCGACTGTAAACTCCGGCTGGTCCCTGAGTTTTACACACACAAAAAGATATGGTTATTTTGAGGTTTTTGAATAATGACACACGGGTAGTAACCCATAAGTGCTCATTTCTTCTTCTAACTCAAGTCTGAGGCCAAAGACGCTCAGCACAGTGCACAGGCTTTGTAGCACTGGCGAGGATCCTGAAATACTTTGGGTAGCTTTTCAACTCAAAATTTTTCCCGGAAAGCGCCATTAGGCTACTCTTTTCCATTTCCCTCTGCCAAGGGAATTTTCATGCGCAACAGTGCACACGGGCGTCCGATCTCACTACCCAGAGACCAGGGGGAAATACTAGAAGTTCAAGTCCACATGAAAAAATACCTGCCCTTACCAGGAATTGAACCCGGAACCTCTAGCCCTTGAGGCGGGCACCATGCCTCTAGGCTACTCAGCCCCTAAAGTTTGGGTTGTTCATTCACTTCTGTACTTTAGTCTTGTTCCAGAATTTGAGTTTTGCATGCACATCCATTCTACAGATCTAGTTCATTTGTTTGCAGACTGTTGGTTCCTCGCCTTTCTACAGTTACACTTCAACTTTGAAGGATAAAGCCTTTTTATTTACCCTTTATAATGTCTGCAGGAGGGAGTATTTCATCAACGTTTGTTTTAGGTTTTCTTTTTAATTTCCTCATTCCCTCAGCCCATTTATTTCACATTTCATTACCTGTTTGTTGATTCTCTGCTAGTTTCTTCTCAGAATGTGTCCCATATAGTGCCATCTTCTTTTTCTCATAACTGTTGATGCTAAGGGCTGTCCAGATTTTTCTCTTACTTCTTCACCCCGTTTGAATTCATCCCCTTTTACGTTCGTCATTTTCCCCTAGGCATTAGGTTTTAAGTGCATTAAACTTTGGTTCCATGTCTTCAGTGGTTCTTTAACTTTCATTGGCATGTATGTACCATTTTGCAGTCTAAATGTTTGTGTCTTCTTAGTTCAAACGGATGTAAACGTTTACAAGCACAAAAGTCAGGGAATCTGAGGGGGAAAAAACAGATGGCTAACATGGCTATACTCACAACTTGCCATATTCTGAGATTTAAAATAATAATAAAAATATTAATAATATGCTCGCAAGTTAAAGAAAAGGGGAAATAAACAAAACATATGTGACAAAGACTAGGTAAAAGAACAAGCGTTTATGACAGACAAGGCAAAGAACAAACATCTATGATAAAAACAAGGCAAAAGAACAAGCATCTGAAACAACGACATGGCTAAAGAACAAGCATCTATGACAAATACAAAGCAAAAGGACAAGCATCTACGACAAAGACAAGGCAAAAGACCAAGCATCTATGACAAAGACAAGGCAAAAAACCAATACCTATGACAAAGACAAGGCAAAAGAACAAATATCTATGACAAAGACAAGACAAAAGAACAAACATCTAAGACAAAGCAAAAGAACAAACATCTATGACACAGACAAGGCAAAAGAACCAATACATGTGACAAATACAAGGCAAAAGAACAAATATATGTGACAAAGACATGGCAAAAGAACAAACATGACAAAGAAAAGGCAAAAGAACAAACATCTATGACAAAGACAAGGCAAAAGAACAAATATATGACATAAAGACGAGGCAAAAAAACAAGCATCTATGACAAAGACAAAGCAAAAGAACAAGCATCTATGACAAAGACAAGGCAAAATAACAAACATCTATGACAAAGACAAGGCAATAGAACAAATGTCTGTGACAAAGAAAAGACAAGACAAAAGAACAGGCGTCCATGACAAAGACATGGCAAAAGAACAACTATGACAAAGACAAGACACACACAAAAACAAGCATCTACCGCATGGCCATTTTTTAAAGTTTACTCAAGGGCCAAAATGTTGGGGGTTGTCACAAGCCATCAGCCCAAACCCAAGCATAGAAAGATCATTAATACAATATTAGTCTTTTCTCTTGAGCCTAAGCGGTGCATAGGGCAGTGGTCATAGCTCTCCATGTCTGGCGGTTCGTTGCCACCTGTTTTAGGTCTTGGATGTTTATTTGATAAAGCCTTACCTGATGATGTCTCTCTAGGTCTTCCTGTCCCTTCCAGTGTTCATATAAATACAATATAACTAGCTATAACTTCCAGGCCACTATAGTCTCCAGCTGGATAGCCCTCGTCTATGGCCAGGCTTTTCAACTGGTGACCTGCAGGCTGAATACGGCTAGCAGAGACCAAGTAAGTGGCCTACAGATCAATGCCAACTGTACTGTATTCATCTTTCTGCGCTAAGGTTCGGGCCTCTGATCCGCAATGATCCCAAGTTTCCAACATTTTGGAACCAGAGTAAACTGTTGAACTGCCCCCAATCAATGACAAAGAACAAGTATCTACGAGGAGAAAAGCCAACAGAACAAGCATCTGTTACAAGAAAAGACAAAAGAACAAACAAAACAAAGACAAGGCAAAACAAAGACAAGGCAAAACAACAAACATCTCTCAACAGAGACAAGCACAAGAACAAACATTACTCTTGAGCCAAACTGTCAGGATCCTCATGTATCTGGAATGGTGCTGTGGCTCCATGAAGAACTGTTCCAGGTTTTTGCTTGACCTGTTAAAATATACCAAAATATAAAATCTAACTTTTTTATACTTTATCCTCTCAAACTGAAACTTATCATGAATTACTATGAAGTTTTTTTTTTTTTTTTTTGGGTAACCTGCTTGCAACTGTAATTTATTCAATTTTAGAACCATGTTACGAATTTATATTTCTAATGTTAATTCAGTTTTAACACATGCCAGTGAAATTTTGAGAACTACTAAAGAAATGAAATGAAAATTAAATGCTTTCAAAAACAAATTCCCCTGGAAAATGATGAACATAAAATGGAATGAAGTCAAGAGTAAGTAAAGCAAAATAAAAAGTAAAGATGCCCCTTCGCGCCTTTAGGCACATCGGAGATTCGGGAAGAGCACCCATATTTTTACAGACTAATTGGGGCTTAGTGGGTAATGTGGTCAGCTTACGCCGGCCGTCTTTACTTCCCCAGGAAATACATTCCGGTACCCATTTTTAGGCTATGTCAACCTGTGACGTCCCATACCATGATAAAAGATTCACGCAGCCAGCAGTGGGTTTCGATTGCGGTACGCTGGAATTACAAGTACGACTAGCAACGCCCAAGCCATGAACGCCAAAAAGTCAAGAGTAGTTAAGAAATACGAGAATTCCGGACAACCATTAGTATTAGACAGAGAAGTTGGTGCTATAATGGACACATTCTGAGAACAGACAAAGACAGACTAACCAAACAGGCCCTGAAATAGGAGAGAGAAAAAGGATTCAGGAAATGGAGACCCCCAAGAGAAACATTAGGGTGAATGTCGAGAGAAGCCAAAGATACTGGAGTGGATTCCATTCATGATATCCAAGTGACCGTAGAGATAAAACGAAATGGAGTAATAGACAGCAAACCATACAATAGCACAACAGGATAATCAAAGCTAACAAGATTGGGACCACGTTAGCGCAGTCGATAGGAAACTCGCTTTCAAATCCAGCAGTGACTTGCTGCAGCACATGGTCGGTGTTTGAAACCGGAATGTTCCCGGGGTTCACCCAGCCTCTAGGAAATGGGTACCAGAGTTAATACTCTGGAGTAAATGGAGGAACGTCACTGTAGCTATAGAATTTTGTGCGGACGGTGACACAGGCGGACAATTTCTTATCAGCGGCCTGTACTGGTGGCAGAGCACTTATGGTATATTACCCTGTGCAATGACGCTGGTTCGCCTCTCCCGACTTTACCTTTTAATTACAAGATTAAGGAAACAGAATTAACTTTATGGAAAACAATTTTACCCTACCTGGCTTAGCCTCCCTTTACCTTTAAGCATAAACTCCAGTCACAACTTTCAAGAGTAATATACAGGATATGAATGATACAGGTACTGAGGTGAATTTGTAGGAATGTGATGCATTGGACAATGTTGTAGGGAGAGGGAAAATGTGGAAGGAATATGGACAAAATAAAAATTGATTGCAGAGAGGTTTAGAGCTTGGTGAGAAAAAGGTACATTAAATACATGAGATGGCTACTTCGCTCTTTAAGAGTCCATGCCGTGTGGCGTTGGTAGTCATGTCTATCCACAACCTGTCTCATCTACTTTTAATCAGCTCTGACGCAGATGATTCTCCATGCCATGACATCAAACTGTCCAGCATCTTTCCCCTCGGTCTCCCTCGGCTTCTATTCCCCTCCAACTTTACTACTATCGCAATAAACAGCAGTTTTATTCTTCTCATCACATGATCAAAGAATGTTGATTGACTCTTTCTGATGTGGGCAATCAGTTCTCTTCGTGAGTCAGTTACTTTCATGACATTCTCATTATTCTTTAAATGTCTTAGGTATCCTCATCAGTCGTCTATAAAACCACATCTCTGCAGCGATGGAAACAATGGTCCTGAAATCCCATACTCTAATTGTGAAGGAGTTTTGTTAACGCTTACGGGCTTTCCTAGCCACACTTGACATTGCCATGTGATTCCCATGCCTTTCTTAAGCACAATACAACGATCATCTGGGAAAAGGGAAAGGTGCAAATACAACAGCACAATACAACGATCGTCTGGGAAAAGGGAAAGATGCAAATTGCAAATACAACAGCACAATACAACGATGGTCTGGGGAAAAGGAAAGGTGCAAATTGCAAATACAACAGCACAATACAACGATGGTCTGGGGAAAAGGAAAGGTGCAAATTGCAAATACAACAGCACAATACAACGATGGTCTGGGGAAAAGGAAAGGTGCAAATTGCAAATACAACAAAACAGCAAATAAAACACCTGCTTTCTTTGTGTGGGTTCCAGAGTTTCACAATGGAGGGGGGGGGGGGGGGGGGGGGGTGTTAGAGAACGACCCACTGCCACTCTAACAATCATGTGGTTAAAGTCGACTAGGGGTGTTTCCTCTGAAGTCAGAGTTCATTTATCGGAGAGGCAAGGAACCAACGCTCTGCTTACAAATAAGCCAGATCTGTCAAATGGATGTGCAGGTAAAATTCAAGCTCCAGAACAACATTTAAAACCTGAAGTGAACCAACAACCAGAACTTTCGACTGGAGTTAGCCGGTGAATTCCAAGAAGAAGAAACACCTACTTTCACATCTGTCCAAACACCAGGAGTCTTGTCGTTCTCTCTGTTGTCAACAGCTCGGACTGGGAGAGACTGCCACTCATTGGTCTGCTGTAGAGCAAGGCTGGACGCCGAGTTCTCATCTTGAAAAATAGGTATCCCTCGACTGGGCAGCTGCTTAGAACCAGCTGACCTCGTGTCTTTTAAGCTTCCAGCAGATCCTTAAAATGTCATAAACAAAAATGTCAGACAAGTTTTGAACAATGCATGTTTAAAACTAAGAGATAGAGAATGCCTGTATTTTGAATAAATATAATTGTACTTGGTGCCACTAAACCAGCGGTGCTCAACTTGTAGGTCGCGACACTTTCACAGGGGTCATCAAAGACCGTTGGAAAACACATGTTCACTGAAGTTATGAAGCAGCAACAAAAATAATGGTATGGTTGGGAGTCACCACAGCATGAGCAACTGTATTAAGGGGTTGCTGAATTAGGAAGACTGAGAGCCACTGCCCTAAACACTGTGCAGGTGCAAACAGAGCCAATGTCGTGAACTGTCAATAATTATTTATAAACTAATGAATGCACACAAAAAATTGTATTCAGGTGTGTTTTCCTGTGAAAAAAACAACTTTTTTTAAAAGCCAAGCTGACATCCAATTTTCCCGTAAGCCTCGCTGATAAAGGTCACAGGTCAGAGCATCAGTTGCCCAATACATAGTTTTCAGGCTCTGGAGAATGTATTCCATTTACTGCTTCACTCTATTTGTGCTTAATGATAACTGCCTTTATTTATCTTCACATATTCCGAAGAAAATAAATTACAATGTAGATATATATATACATGTTTTTACAATTCATAAAACTGTTTTTCTTTTCTTCAAGGGTTGTTTTTTCGAGAATTCCCAGAAGGTCAGGTTTTTTTTTATATAAAAACCACAGCTCCGCAGCTTCCAAATAATTTTTCACTAATCTACCAAAATTCAGGCTTAGCTACAAGATCACATTGTAATTTCAATCAAACATACCTATTTTTATATTTCCAGTCCTGACCACGCCTACTTTATGAGAGGGACCTGAGGCCTTCAACCTCCCCAGGGTGGCCCTTTTTTCAGCATTCTCCCCCATGTCCATGCCAGGGTTCTGGGTCTCAGCAATCTGAAGAGTTATGTTCCTTGCCAGTCTGCTCTGAAACTGCCTGTGTACAGATGAGAGTTAATTATTATGGCCTGGAGAGAATGAGGCACCTGCATGTAACCAGAGGGTCTGGCCTGCTCACTACACTCTGAGGAAAGGCAAGATGGACATTTAACCAGATTGTGACCAGTACCATTAGTGTTGGAACTCTGCGCTGGCTGCTGAAGATGTGGACAGAGCACACATGGTTGCTGTGATGTCAGTTCTTGATTCAAATAAATTTAACTTGAAAATTAGTTGGCTAAATGTGTCCAAGTCAACCTGCATGCTCTCGGGAACCATTCAATAAACAAGGGAACGCTAACAACTACCTCCCATGAATGTCATAAGAGACAACCAAGGAGGGTTGGTGTGAGACTGACTACCACATCACTAGTATTTTGTCATATATTTTCTCTTCTTAACATTCACCAGCTGTTAACTCTCATGGAATATTAATGTTATTTGTCCACTCCTGCAATTTGGTCTTGCTCTAGAACAGTAATTTTCAACCTTTTTCAGTCAGCGTCCCCCCCCCCCCCTAAAAAAATGAGTTAGAAATGGGAGGACAAAACGTAAACCCCAAACACTATTGACAAGAACAGTGTTGTTCTGTTAATTAGATGTTTAATAGTGAATGTACAAACTACTCATAAAAACAAAAACATCATTGGCTTTTTGTTTTATAAATATTTTTTTTAAATATTTTATTTACAATTAAACTGGAAAAAATGCTATTATAACAGATTATTCATCATCATCATGCGCCCTGCCAACTGGCGTAGACGCTCATGCGTCTCCACAGATCACAATCCTTGGTTGCCTGGAACAGCTGTCTTGATGATATCCCTCCATGCCATCATTTTAGTCCACCCAGCATCATCTCTCTTGGTCTGCCTCTATTCCTTTTTCCACTGATCTTTTTAGTTGTCACAATGTTCTCCAATGTCTCTCTTCTCATTATGTGGCAAAAGAACAGTGTTTGTCTTTTTCTGCTTGTTGTATAAAGAGATCTACTTTTATTAGCTTCTTTCAAGCGATCATTGTTAGTTACTCTGGCTGTCCAAGGTATTCATAACATTCATCTCAGAAACCACATCTCTGTTGCTGCCAAATTCTTCCTAATTTGTTCACTGACATTCCAAGATTCGCTGCCATACAGCAGAACAGGTTGTGTGTAACATTTAAGCAACCTCAGATTATTGCCAGTAAAATAGTGACATCCTCCTTAAATTCCTTGCTCCCTTCGAGTTGGTAAACTCTGTTCTTGGACTTTAGATCTGCATGCACATTCACTGTTATGCAGACTGCTGGTTCCTCACCTCTCACGCAGAGGCACTGCGACTTTAAAGAAAACACTCCTACTTAGGGGGGCAGTGGGTCTATTCTTTTTTCTCCCAAAATGGGGTCCTGAAATGGACGCATGGAAATTTTGCCATGAAAATGGATGAGAGTGAACCAGACTAAAGTCTGAAGGTGAACGCACGGCCAGAACTTATCTTTTTCTGTTGTTTGACTTTTTTCTAGTATCATCTTCATCATGTTCACCAGCTGTAAACTCTGGCAGAAAGTTCTGGCTGTGCCTCCACCCTCAGACTTTAAGTCTTGTTCCAGAACCTGAGTGTTGCACACACATCCATTGTACAGCTCTGGCTTACTTCATGCAGACTGTTGGTTTCTTGCATCTCAGGCAGATGCTCTACGACTTCAAAGGATACCTCCAATTAATCAACTCCTATACTTGCTGGGAAGGCAGTGGATCTATTTGTGTTTTCCCCACAGCGGGACCCCGGAACGCACACAAGGCAAAAAAATACTATGTAGCAACTCAGCTTGGGTGCAAACTTCAACTGCTCCAACATGCTCAGAGAAGAAATACAATCTAGAATACAATCTGGAAATAAAGTTAACTATGCCCTTAAACATCTGCTAAAGTCAAAGTGTCTGTCTTGCAACACCAAGATCAAAATATATAAAACACTGATAAGACCAGTCATTTTATATGACTCTGAAACTTGGAGCACAACTAAAAGAGATGAAGCCTTATTACAGGTTTTCAAAACAGTATTGCGATGAAATTTTGGACCCATCAGATATGCTAACAGCGGGGAATGGAGAGTGAGAAGCAATAACAGAATTCTTCTTCTTCTGCGTTCATCCGAAGATGTAATTGCGATGTCCGTTTACAACATAGCTGCGACATTTGCACCTTTCGGCCAACACATCCGACTTCTGCAGGCATTTGTTGACCAGGTTAGCTTTACCGATTATAACAAAATTCATAATCTGTTTAAATTAAATCACCTGGCATCATGAGAGCTAATAAACTAAAATGGTTGGGGAATATTGAAAGAATGTCAGATGACAGAGAAGTAAAAACTGTATACACAAAGGATATGAATGGCCGTAGACCATGAGGCAGATCAAGAAGAATATGGAGATAGTGTCTAGACAAACCGGCAAACACTTGGTGTCACAAAATGAAAAAAGACCAACCACAGAGATGAATGATATTTGCAGCAATGAACCTCGATAGTGTCTAGACAAACCGGCAAACACTTGGTGTCACCAAATGAAAAAAGAAGACCAACCACAGAGATGAATGATATTTGCAGCAATGAACCTCAAAGGCTCGGAATGCTGAAGAAGAAGCAACTCACCGATGTCTCTGTATTAGTAAATCCTCCGGCTGGGCCCGTCTGTTGAGGCCTTCTGTGTAAATAGCATCAGCCTTTTTGCTATCTCCATTCCTCTCAAGACTGATAGCCCACTCCACGTACATTGTTGCTACATTAACTCCTATGCCATTGTCAAACATGTATGTGAATATAACCACAGGATCCACTGAAGAACAGGCCTCAAAATAAAAATAATTCAGAGTGCTCTTAAAGTCAGACAACATAGGCAAAAATATTTTCAAGAAATGAAATTTATTAACATTTTATTTAACTGATATTGTTCTTTGATTTCTGCTTCTTCTTTGCATTCACCAGCTGTAAACTCTGGCAAAAAGTGTTGGTTGTTCGTCAACTTCTGGACTGCAGTCCTGTTCCTGAACCTGAGTGTTGTGTGTGCATCTGTTTTACAGATTTCATTTTGTTTGCAGGCGGTTGGTTCCTTGCCTCTCAGGCAGATGAACTCCGACTTTGAAGGAAGCTCCAAATTAGTTGACTTTTACGACATGCTTGTGGCTAGGCAGTGGGACTATTCTTGTTTTCTCTATAACAGGGCCCCGGAATCCACACAGGGTTTTGTCTTTGATATGATTTTTATCATGTGCAATGCAAAGGTTGATGCACTTTGCAAAAAAGTACGTTACAAATTTTAACCATGTACCTTCACCATCGTTATGTATTAGAATGTAAGGTCTTTGTGGCAAAGCGCTTAGACCATAAGCCTCATGCTCTAAAGGTTGCAGGTTCGGATTTGTGACATCATCATTTGGTTCATGTATTCATATGTTTCAGACTCCTGGTTACTATTGCTGAAGCTATTGTTGCGTGGTTTCTGCAGCATTCTTGGCAGGCAAAGTCATCCTATAGCCACATGGGTTAGATTCCAGTGCCATGAAGACAACCGTCTTGTGTTCCTGGAGGTGCTGAACCGCATATGGTGGTGTAGCTTGACCAGGGTCAAGGGATTTGAGCTGTGAATTTCATTTGGAATGTTTTTCGACTGTGACCAGCATGGTGTTGTCAACTCTAGATTCTGAAAATGGTGAGGTACTTTCATCACAGAATCGGTGGTGCCTTATGTGATTAAAATTATTCATGTGTGCAACTGGTGATCTGTTTGTAACTGCTGCTTCTGTCGATGATGAACTGCATTTCTGACATCAGACTGGTTGTGTTGACACTTCGGATGGCTATATTATGCTTTTAAAGTGTGTGCATGCTAGTGGTTACGCAGTATGTGTCAATTTTTCCACAATGGACAAGCGGAGCAACTAAGTGGTTACCTGTTTGCTATGAAGATAAAACTAAGATTACCAACGGATGCGAAACCACAGGACCTGGGTTGATTCTAGCGAAGGGCTGTAGAGATGCCTCAACACTGGGGCTCATACAGGTCGAGGGACACACAGATTCTAAAGCACACATAAACCCCTCTGTGGATGATGTGGTCAACATTATGCCCACTGCTTTTGCTGCCTATAACATTTCCTGGTACAGTTGAGGATGCAGAACACCGAGGACCCAGATCTGCTGAGACCCTGAACACCCATACACGGCAAGGCACATGATGATGATGCCGAAAGCAAAATCATCCGTGACTGTATTGTGATTTACTGCCAGTTTGGATATCGACCAGTATGCCTTCTGAACTTCAAATATCCTGTGTGGGTTCCAGATCTCGTTAAACAACAAAACAAAAACTAACAAGTATATTTTTTTTTAAAGAAAGAAACTGTACAACCCACCGCCCTTTTGCATGTCATAAAAGAGACTAACAAAAGATTTGCTGAAATCAGATGTGTTCGGCAAAAAGGCAGATATTGCAGTCTTGCTGTAAACCACAACACAGTATACCAACCGCCTTTTATGAGCAAACACAAGGAAAGAAGAAAGTCAACGACACTAAAAAAAAGTAAAGCACCTTTGCCATGCTTGTTCTCCCATCTCTACTACCTTCTATCAGCGCCAATCAATACATCTTCTTTGTGTTTATCGGTTGTGGACTCGGACAGAAAGTTCTGGTTGTTCATCCATTTCTGGACTTTAGTCTTGTTCCAAAACTTGAGTTTTGTATGCACATCTGTTTTAATAATCTGGCTAACTTGAATGCAAATTATTGATTCCCTTCCTCAGGCACACTGACTTTGAATGAAACATCTCTGATTGGTCGACCCTTATGACATGCTTGTTAAAGGGCAGCGTATCTATTCTTCCTTCACAATGGAAGCCCGGAATTTCACACAATAACAATGCACACAAGTATAAGATTTAAACAACGGATCAACATCATGGCACACGGGTGGTAACCCTAAGTGATCCGTTCTTCTTCTAACTAAAGTCGAGTCTGAAGAAGCTCAGCACAGTGCACGGGCTCTGTAGCACAGGTGAGGATCCTTAAATACTTTGGGTAGATTTTTAACTCCAAACTTTGCCGGATTTACAACTGCCAAGGGATTTTTTAAATTGCGCAACAATGCACACGGGCATCCGATCTCACTACCCAGAGACCGGGGGAAATTACTACAAGTCCAAGTCCACCTGAAAAAATCCCAGCGCTTACCAGGAATTGAACCCGGAACCTCTAGCACTCAAGTCGAACACCATGCCCCAAGACCACGCATCTCCCCTTCAAGTTAATATTATCAACACTTACAAACTTGATCCACATATGAATGAATCGGGGATCATTTTTATACCGCTCGTCTGCCTGGAACTCCCGCAGGCACCTTTCTAACATTTTCATAAGCTGGCCATCATGGCCTCCTTTAGGGTAATGCTGTTCTGTCCATTTGATATAGCTGAAACAAACAAACATGACATTATGCAGGGAAAAGGCAGTACGGCTCTGTGGCCTAAGGGTTTGTAAATATGTTTACAATTTTCATGACAACCGTGCTTCCCCGTTGAGAATTTCAACAAAGCAGACACAAACACAAGATTGCACAATTTACTGCCTGGCATATTTCGCCGCAGGAGTCCCCATGGTGGAGCGGATAGAAGCTCGCCGTGGATCATAAGGTCGTGAGAATGTGGGCGTGGGTTCGCTCCCTGGAGGAGCTGGCCTTTTTTTTTTAAATGACCTTGGCTCCCAGGTCGACCCAGCCTTGAGTGGGTACCGGGTGCAGACCCAGGAAGTAGAGGCGGCCGGCGTGATGCTGACTACATCACTCATCGTGTGCCGATTGTTCTATAAAAATATAGGTCTAGCCCTATACACCTAAAGGTGTGGAAAAGGGTCCTTTACTTTACTTATATATATATATATATATATATATATATATATATATATATATATATATATATATATATATATATATTATATATATATATATATATATATATATATATATATATATATATATATATATATTGCTGTGCCTCAATTCATTAAAATACTTCAATTGAATAAAATACTTTAAAGGCCCCGGTTAGTTAGCATCCTGTGGATATTTTCTCTAGCTCATGCCAGTGTGTTGGGAAATGAGCAGTCAGACAGAGTGGCCAGTTCTGCACCACTTGGTGGTGAACTGATGTATGACAGGCTGGATGTTGTGAGGGCGCTTTGGGAGCGAGTGAACAGTGCCAAGGCATAGATAGACCATTACGGTCTGAGGAAAATTTTAACAAACAGGATGAAACATTAAATGGAATACACATGTTGAACTCATTAACATTTGATAGAGATGAGCACAGTCAATAGATTTAACTATATATCGTGTCAACAGGTCACTACAAACAAGCTGGAAAAGTGACATTTATGGGGTATTGGCCCCAACCAGAAGTGTCGGTTTTGCGGCTTCTCAAAGTGACAGGATTAAAGCCAATCACTATAATTTTATTTGAAACAATGGTTTTACTGTTGTAAATTTTAACAATGCAGACAATACACTGCACAATTTATTGCCTAGGATATGTACGGTATCTCATCAACAGTTTACATCAACATAATTAAGCATTTAAAAAAAAATCATTTCCAGAGATATTCAAATCACAATGTCTCTAGTTACAAAGCAAATCTCACCTCAGGAATTCAAGGTTGGACACACGGAAGTTTAAAATGACCACATGCTCTTTTTGTTTACACACAGTGGGATTGTTCAATTTACATTTAATATTGTTTCTATATATGGATGATTGAAGTGTCTGCTCTGGGAAAATTACTGTCCTGTGTTTGTCATTACAGCTGCTTATGACACCTAACAAAACTGTCCTTACTGTTTAGGCCTATGACTTTTTAGGAAGGAAGAAGGTGGAAAAAGGAGAGGGCATGTCTTCTTCTTTTTTGCGTTTACTGGCTGTAAACTCCAGCAGAAATTTCTTGTTGTTTATCCACCTCTGGACTTTAGACTTGCTCCAAAACCTGAGTGCTGCATGCACATTTGTTTTACAGATTTGATATTTTTGTATGCAGACTGCTGGTTCCTTGCTTCTCAGGCAGATGCACTCCGACTTTGAAGGACATTCCCAGTTAGTCGACTCCTATGACATGCTGGTTGGGGATGCAGTGGGTCTTTTCTTCTTTGCCCCACCAAGGGGTCCCAGAACCCACACGGGGAGTGGGACGTCTTGAGTCTGTGGAATCAAGGTTGCACTGCTAATGCAGGTTAGTATTTTCAATGCTGACAGAAATAATAATGATCACCTTACTGAGGAATCAAATCTTTGTCTTCTCGACAGATGCTTTTGAAATATGTCAGGGTTAATGCCCAAATGTGGGCTACTAATAAAGAACGAATGATTCTTTTAACATGTTTTTTCAACTTACCTTTCCCACACGCTGAAAGGGTCATCTCCAGTGTAAGATCTGAGTTCCAATTCAAAGTTGCTGGAAAAAGTTTCCAATAATTAGAAATATCATAAACAGATATCTAACCAAACACAAGTAGATTTTAGCTTAACATTATCGCAATCAAACATGTGACAATAGTTACATTATTTTTTTTCATTTCTCAAACAATAACACAAATTTCCTAGTGCTGTGAAAGTTCCCTTTCTTATTCAGCATGCCAAACCCTCAAGGTTTCTTACTGCAGATATCATCTACTTTTATTCCTCTGTGATCTTTCCTTCTCTTTCCAGTTGATGACTCCAAGCGTCTGTAGGTCTGACTTTATATCCACGGTCTTCAAGATCTGTTCCCATGCACCTCTGTTGTGTACACTTTCTGTTTGTTATTTGCCAATGTCTTTATAGATAGAAGCTCCCCTTGTCTTCATGTATTCCATCTTTATCAATCAAACAGGTGCTGTCATCGCAACGATGGTTGGTTTCAATGGATCTCCAACACACTCATCTCCTACTTTTTTCACACTTGTATAGCTGTCTAGCTCTTGCTCGCTTGCCTACAACTCCACCCAAAAAATACTATTTTAATCATAAACTTATAAGTATAATGCAGAGATTTATTCTTCTTCCTAGCCTTCACTGGCTGTAATTTATAGTGGAAAGTTCTGGTTGTTCGCCCACTTCTAGACTTTGGTCTTGTTCCCTTTTACAGATCTGGTTTTATATGCAGACTGTTGGTACCTTGCCTCTCAAGCATATGCACTCCAACTTTGAAGGATTTCTCCCTAATTCTTCACTTTTTACAACATGTGTGTGAGAAGGCAGTGGGTCTATTTTCCCCCTCACAATAAAAGAGCCTTGAAACCCACATTAGGAACCACTGATTGTAGATTTAATGAAAACCTTTGCTTTGGCCACTTTACGTACACTAGCGTATTTTTGGACGGAGCGCTTATGGGAGATTCCCGAGTGCTATGATTTTGATTCTTAATTCAACATTCATTTGATTTTGTAATTCAAAATAATAAATAAATAATTTTAATAAATTCCTTTGACATTAAAATAAGAATGGACCAAACATTTCCCACTCATTGCAATATCGACCCTAGGGGGGTGCAATCTATTGTGTGTTTAAGGCGACAGTAAGGAACACAATCCAGTGTTTGTGTACGTTCACAAAATAATGTTCTGTAATATTTAATATTGTTTCACGTTAAGGTTAGGGTTAGGTTTAGAGTTGGCAGTTAGAGCTTAGGTTAAGGTTAGCCCTAACTCTAACCTCAAATAATATTAAAATAGGAAAGAATATTATGGCTATCCTCGGAATAACGGGCACAAAATATGGCGGCCAAAAAACAGGACCTCAGTCACGTGTCACTTGGGTACTTCCGGCGACTTAATTTGCGAACTTCTGACGAGTACCGCCACCGCCGGTAGTATCCCCCACGCCGCTCATGCATTTTCAGTAATTGAGTGAGTAATGTTAACTTGTAATAGACTACGTTATCTGAGTGTTACCGTTGCAAGGTGTGTAGGTGCTAAATAAAAATAAAATATTTTTCAGAGTACCTAAAAAGAGCAGCAACATTATTATAGTAGCTATTACAATTATCCAAGTGACCTATTTTAAAACGAAAGTAGAGATCGCTTAGTTACAAGATGGAGTCGGTGGTCCACGAAAAATGGCTTCTTTGTGTATCGGTTACTTTGAAATCCCGTCGCTCAATATTAGCTGTTCTGAATCGAATACGTGGGTTCAAAGCTATTCAGAAGAGGTCGCTCTACAAAACGACACCTAACTTACGTAGCGGCCTTTATTCAGCCAAATAAATTTCACTATTTGCCATGCGGGAATTAAATTTCTTTAATATCTCCTTTTTAAAGTGAATATAAATACTTTTAATTGACATTTTTGGATTCAGTGTCCATTTTTACATAAAGATGGGCAGTTTTGCTGAAATCTGTACATCATAAAATATAAAGTTTCAATTTCTTCCCGGTCACTTCTTGAGAGCTAAATCGGCAGTTTTTCAAAATGGCTACCGCGTGGCCTAAACGAACTGTTTATCTCAGATTAATTAATCTAGTTATTTATTAAAACAGTTCAAAAATAAGGCAAGTTTTATTCGTATTTATAATTTACCTTTCTTTAACTTTAATTTCACATGAGTTTTAATAATTTTAAATACCTGAAAATAATGTTTCAGCACGTTTTTAACATGGACTATTTCTAGTTTATTTTGCGTTGAAAATGGACACAGACAGTGGTTTAAACATTTTATATTATACTTTTACATGAATATAAAGTAGTTATTTAATCATTTTTTTAATCTTTAGCCATTATAGCATTTTTTAAGCCATAACCAATCATTTGGCATGAATAATATTTCCTGTTTGAAGCCTTTTTACCTGTTGACCCCCACTCACCGCACCCAGACTGACAATTTTAAAAATGTCTGCCACACATTTCTGCACTGATTTTGTGGTGCATTTTTATTGTCTTAGTATAAATAACAGTTACTATTTATGACTGATACTATAAGTTTTAAAATTGCAGTATTAGTATTGACTTATAGATGCTTATTTACAAAGTTGATGATTAATAGAATTAATAAATTATAATTTGTTTAACTGTGCATAAGTTTACTTACTTACATTACAGCCAGGGCTACTTACAACTTATGATTATTATTATTTAATAATTATTTTCTATATATACTAATATATACTAGCCAGCAAACAGATCACATGGGACAAAGATACGTTAATAAAATATATATAATGTTCTTTTTCCTTTTACCTTATGAAATGCTGCTCCATGAAAACACAACATAAATCCAAAGCGAATCACAAAGGAGCTTATTTAATAATTTTTCTCCATAAAAACATAGCACTGAATCACAAATCATTTATGAGCAGTTACCTTAGATTATTTTGAACTAGTAAATAAAAAATCCAGCAGTGACTAGTTAAGAAGAAGAGGGGGACACTGTGGTGAAATGCGCTCATTATCAATCAAATTAAAGAATAACTCGCAAAGACTAAAGAAGGGATTATGTTAAATCAGTAAAAAGGGTGCATATTTTCACTTGGTTATCAAACAATATTGGGGGTCCCTGTAGGAAAATGGTCAAGCCATTAACCTCGCGCTCGGAAGGTTGCGGTGAGTTTATTTTACAACTGCGTTGTTCGACTCAAAAATGCATTTTGTTTGGGTTAACAGGGACCCATGGAGGCTGTAGCTGGAGCTACGGTATTCAGGCTTCGTGCTAAGGTCTCACGCTTATGTGGAGAAAGACCAAGCCATATAAAACCAGTAACGATGCAGTGAAGTCAATCCACTCGCTATTAAACATTTTTAACAGTGGAATAGAGCAAATTTCGGTCAGATGTATACACACTACACACACAAGTGGGAGAAAAAGCATTTTTAAACAAATAGGAAGAGATGCATCATAACAAGAAGAATAGTTACAAAAGTATGCATATTACAGTATATGTCTTGAAAGACTCACTGGATAATAATCATTAATTCATAAGGTATCTAATTAATACTGATAAATTGACTCATTTTATGTTAATTAGGTTTGCATCACGCTGGACGTCTGGCGGGCGTGCGGGGTGGCACCAGGCGTATGGACTCCTACGGGACATCCATTGCCCCTTCCCTAGCAGGCAGGCAATACTAGGGCGACCGGTCATTTCCTGCAGTACTCTATTTTTTCGTATGGATTTTCAAAATTTACATAAGAATCGTCGCCGGAGCTACAGGGCACGTGCTCTGCGCTTGACACATTATTCAGCGGTTAGTGAAGAGGGAGTGAGGAGGAGACGACGAGGAAATGGGGAGAGAAGAAGGCATAGAAATACGAGGGCGGGTGTTAGGAGAAAAAGGCGAAAAGCGGAGAGATTGAGCTTTAATCATGTAAGAGTAGGATACTGGAACTGTCGGAGTGCTAGGCAGAGAGGTCCAGTACTGGAGAGGTTGATTTTTAATTTTGATGTCATCATGCTCCAGGAGCTAAATACAGATATCATTGTTCGGGGTACGTCAGTTATATAAACCCTGTTGGACAGGAGAGACATTGGCAAGGTCTGTTGGTGAAGGAGGGAGTGAAGCATGTGGTGCTTGACTTGACCCAGTGGAACCACAGTGGATGAGAGGTTCAAGGGATACAGGTGGAAATGTGTGGCTATGCGGGTCATTCTGGGTTGTACCAGAGACACCCCAGTGGTGTGTATGCGATACATCCTTGGTTTGCCGACGGTTGCAGGTAGGCACAAGGTGCTGCAGGCGAAGTCATATCTCAGGGTAGCTGCAGACACAGACCACCCTCTGCATGAAGCTCTGGGTGCAGTTAAGGGTCAGCGGCTGATAAGAGGGAGGTCATGGATGGCTCAGGCAGAAGACACAATCAAACAGGTTTGCATCCTTGAGAACATTAGGCGAGGAGAGGAGTGGGTCAAAGTGCCACCTGAGCAGTCAGACCTGTGTAGAGTCATAATCACGCTGAGCCGGGAATGCAGAGACTGGTCAGCAGGTGCCACAGAGGTGGAAATTAAGCAATTAATTCAAGATAATGCTCGCTCGGAAGATTTGATCATTTACACAGACGGTTCAGTGTCAAGAGGCAAAAGAAGTGCTTGGGGCTTCTTAGCAAAAGTTAATGGTCGACTTTTGGTACACGAGAGCCTACCACAACATCCAGCTTAAGAATGGAGGTGGAGGCGGTCACTGCAGATTTCCACTGGCTAGAGAACACGACACACACACACATTGTGATTGTAACTGATTCAGAAAGCATGCTGAGGAAGATCAGACCAGGTATGCTTCGTGCAGAGTGGCATGCTTCGCTGCGGAGGACACGAGTGAGGAGTATTGTCTGGATTTTTACACCAGGTTACGCCGGTGTGTTGGGAAATGAACAGGCAGACAGACTGGCTGGCTCTGCACAACTTGGTGGAATACTCATACATGATAGGGCAGATGTGGTTAGTGCCTTGTGGGAGAGCGTGTACAATTTGGAGAAGCAGATGGATCACCACAGTCTGGTGAGATTGATGCAGTTGGGGGTGACGAGAGGTTCTGACGAGAGGTTCTGGCAGAAGCTCGAGGCTCAGAGGAAAGACCAGACGGACATTTAATCAGAAAGCTACCGGCACCATTAGTATCAGAACTCTTCGCTGGCTGCTGAAGATGGGGACGGAATGCCCCAAGTGCTGTGATGTCGGTTCTTGAATCAAATCAAATCAAGCATCACATCATATTTTTAAAAAGGCAACAACTTAAGTTTAAGTTAGAGCTTGCTGCCCTGTATTGTAAGCAATGACATATGGTTGCTAAGAAGTTCAGCAAAAAACATAAGAGTTATTGAAATTAAACTTGATAAATTTAGGTCCAGTTTTCACTTGGGAACATGCCGCCATATTGTTTCTGTGTTTTCCATTATAATTTTTTTTTTTGGGGGGGGGGGGGGAACTTTCCGTCACTGAAATGTGAATATCTCCGCTAAGAATTGACATACAGAATACAGACTTCAATGAGGCACCGTTGGACTCAGATTTTCAACCTCTGTTCACCTGTCTTGGTTTAAAAGTAAAAAACCCAATATATAAATGTTGACTAAAATTTGTATGTTTAGACGATGTTAGTTAAATCGTGACATTATACACTTAACTTATTCTATACAAGTTTTACAACAACTTAAAGATACACATTAAGTACATCAAAATAGTAATACAAAACAATCATTGTTACAATGGCTTTGTCTACTTTAGCATTTTTGTGATTATTTTGATTTTCACAATGAGACAATGACAATAATATTTTGGTTTTTAATTTTTGTTTAGGGTAGACTGTTAGAATAAATATATATATATATATAACACATACTTTTGCTGAGTCCTAATAGCGTGATCTTCAGTTTGATCTTGGTTTAAGGCAGCGACAAGAGATGACATATGCCTGCCCTGCCTCAAGGGTTGGACATTTTCTTTACTCAGTTCCCATTCATGATCGTCGACGTCCATCTTGGCTCTGGTCCCCGACTTTTGCAAACTCAAATTTACCGCTAGCCGTGCCAGGTCTATTTACACAACTCGTGTGAAAACAAGAATGCCCTGGTACTATCTACAACAACAAGCCACACTAAAACGTTACAACGGGTATAGAGCTAGAGGAAGTCCTCGGAAAACATGGAGTGATGGCATTAGGAAAAGCCTTACAAAAATGCACAACAGTCTTAATAGTGCTCATGATAGAGCTCATCAACGAATTATACATCTCCCTTCGATGAGATACAAGGTGGAAGAGAAGCAGAAGAAGAAGAAGCGTGGAAACTTGCAGTGGCTCCTTTCCGAGATTGTAGTCTGCAGGATTTATACCTCAATGAATTCCCTCTATAAAGATGTATCCCCCGCAAGGAATCCCTTTATAAAGATATGTCCCACTACGATAAGCACACTGACTCGCCGGTAGACATCTTCGTCTGTTTCCTTTAATCGCATCAACATTGAAGTAGTCATTTTCAGGGACTAGGTGGCGTGCAATGCTAAGCAATTTCATATGGCCCACATAATTAGTCACAATTATAACCTTAATTAAGCTCCCCTTTCAGAGATGCTGATTGAATGTGACGATTTCTTTCCCAGCAAAGCACCTACCTAGAATAAGCTTATAGCGGTAGAAAACATTCATTCATTTATTCAATATCCTGCTGTGCCATCGGATGTCATATAGGGCTCGCAATCTAATTCTCCATTCCGTTCTATTATGTGCAATCAGTTCAATATCATGGATGAAAAATGCCCCTGTGTGAGTTCCGGGGCCCTATTATAGCGAAAACAAGAATAGACCCACTGCCTACCCAAAAGCATGTCGTAAGAGTCGATTAATTGGGAGCTTCCTTCGAAGCCGAAGTGCATCTGTCTGAGGCAGGGAACTAACATTCTGCATATAAATAAGCCATATCTGTAAAACGGATACACGCGCACCACTCAGGTTCTGGAACAGGACTGAAGTCCAGAAGCCGACGAACAACCAGAACTTTCCGCCATAGTTTGCAGCTGGTGAACGCTTAGAAGAAGAAGAAGAAGAAGAAGAAGAAGAAGAAGAAGAAGAAGAAGAAGAAGAAGAAGAAGAAGAAGAAGAAGAAGAAGAAGAAGAAGAAGAAGAAGAAGAAGAAGAAGAAGGAGAAGAAGAAGAAGAAGAAGAAGAAGAAGAAGAAGAAGAAGAAGAAGAAGAAGAAGAAGAAGAAGAAGAAGAAGAAGAAGAAGAAGAAGAAGAAGAAGAAGAAGAAGAAGAAGAAGAAGAAGAAGAAGAAGATGGATGACAATCCAGTGCCGAGGAGTGCATGTAATGAGTGTAATCGCTGTTTACACTTTCTAGTTAGCTAATTAGTTAGTTGACAGATTATCCTCATTGCATGTCGAACCACTCAGTCCATAAGTGCTCGGATCCCCTCCTCAGTATATACCGCAGCGAGAAGCGGCTAATGACATCAGTTCTGTGTTGGTTTATTATTCCTGTTTGACTACCCTCGTAGTGTTCTTGTTTGGTGACACCCAGTTTAACATGTTGTTCTTGCAGTCTGACCATGGTCGCAAATTCATAGTTCTCAGTTGGTAAACGCAAACGTATTAATTCGCTTAGAACCTTCAGTATATCAGCCTGGTCCATAGCTTGTCCGGCTTTCACAGTAGCCTTACCTGCAAGCCTATCAGCTTGCTCATTTGCTTATACCCTCACATATCCTGGAACGAAAATGGAACTAATCCTTGTCAGCCGTAAATTCTGTAGAGCCACTAACCACTGCCTTCGGACCAAGCCCTTCTCTATCTTCCTCTGCATACTCATCGAGTCACTGAGAAAGCATGCTCCAGTGAAAGTCTGTGTCTCTAGCCATGTTACTGCTTTAGTCACAGCCATGACCTCCTTGTAGTTACGGCAAAAGCTCCAGAATCTTCCTTCACAACTCTCCCTCCAATCTAAGACGTGAAAGCCCACGAGCTTCTAACGTGGAATATTACATAACCATCTTTCCACTTAAAAAGGTAGATGCGTATCCTTTACAGGACAAGGCAGAACCAACCCAATAATTTTTTGGCTGTTGTGTTTTTTCTATGCAATTTAACATCCAGTAGTTTGCCATTGCTTTCTTGACAGTCGGCTTCTCGATACCACTGTCACAACCAACGAAAGGCGCAAGGCCTGCAGCTAGTATCGAACCCAGCACAACGGCATTACGAAGCGCGTTCGGAACGCTTAAGCCTCAGACACCGACACATTTTCCAGAGCAAAAGAACAATTACTTTACTATGTATTACAATGATTGTATTACAATGAATGTATTACAATGAAAAATGCTTAGAATACATTGGGCAGCCAAAAAGAGCAACCAAGAGGTTTTGAAAGAGGCGGGAGCCCGAAGGTAACTTATCACAGACATCAAAAGAAGACAGTCATCGTTTTTCGGCCATGTTATAAGAAGAGGCAAAATAGAACATGTTGTGACCACTGGAAAGATCTGTGGAAGGAGAGATAGAGGAAGACAACGAGAGAAGATTTTTGACAGTCTTGTTGCATGGCATAGAGGTGTGTCGGCACACGAACTGATACATGCTGCAGGAGATCATGGATTTTGGAAAAGCATGACCGCTGGCGCCAGTCGGCAAGGCACATGATGAAGATGATGATGATGATGTAATACAAATTTGCCAGTCGGTTTAAGAAATCTCGCTACATACTCACGTTATTCGTGCATAAAATTAAACTTGTGAATGGTACCAGTTACTAGTACTAGGACTTCGGGCTTAAAATGGAGAATTAGGCATGGCAGAATGTTTAGCTTCGAGGTAATTTTTTTCTTTTTCCGACAGAGCCTTGCTAGTGCAGTTCCTACATATAGACAGTACTCTACGATTTCCCTGCCTGAGCTACTGTGTTTAGTGCTTGGTGTAAAAAAAATTTTTTTTTTGTATGCTTATCATTTGTGCCATCTGGATATCAAAGAAATTAAATTACAGCTGTGCTGAATAATAATCCCTCCATAACCTAGAACGCCAAAAATATGGATAAAACAATTTTCTAATGAGCAGCGACTGGTGTGATCACCGGAGCAATATTGAATAGCAGTGACTAAGATATCGTTTTCGCCTTCGTGGTCAGAACTGCTGAAATGGAAGAAGATCGATTTGACAGCTTTATTAAGAATTTGAGAAAGATGTTCGTGGGAACGATCTGCTTGCTTCCTACCGGTTTCCCTAATGTATGCATTTTTACATCTTTTGCAGAGGATGACATAAATTAGGTTATGCGATTTACAAGTAAATGCTTCTCTAACATGACATAAACCCATCGTAAAACGAGCCGAAGGGGTCTGAATCACAAATGGACATGTTTTATATCTTGTACTGGAGCTTTTGTAAGTGCTGCCATGAACTGGTGTCTGGATCGGAGGCAGTCTGCTTCTGACACGTATATCCTTAAGATTACGGTCTCGACTGTAGACCACTCTAGGGTTGTCTCTAAACATCTTACGGTTGTCAGGATCAGAGCGAAGAATATTAAAATAACGAGGGAAGATTCTAATTCTAAAGTTAGTTGCGTATCCTTAAATGGACGTTGCAGAACCAACCCAGCAGCCCCTGGCTGTTTTGGGGTTTCTCTAGGCAAATTTACATCCAGTAGTTTGTCATTGCTCTCTTGATGGTCGGCCCCCTGACACCACTGTCGAAACCAACGCAAGGCGCATGGCCCGCAGCTGGGATCGACCCCGCACCCCGGCATTACGAAGCATTTGCATCGACTTTTCCACAGAGCCGACTGATTCTAATTCTAGACACAGATAAATTATTAGGGTGATATGTTAAGATCAGTTTAGGTCTATCAGGAGCAAGTTTAGATTTAGCAAATTAAAGCAATAGGTGAATGTCTGAAACATTGTAATCTACATACAACAGAAACAAAAAACAGTCGAGTCTAGATCAGCAGAAGACGCAGGGACCTATGAAAATGTTTCCACTTATCAGGATTTCTACTTATCCAGACAGCACACACAATAGAGAAAATTGCAGGGACTAAGCTGGTCATGTCGACTTAACTGAAATTCGACTTATCTGAGTTCGACTTAAGTGGACTCGACTGTAATTATGAACAGTCAGCTTCAGAGATTCGCGGGGAAATACAAAACAATTTGTAACTGGAAATAAAATCCACACATAGAGGGTATAATGAAGTTTTTCGCCAGGAACACAGATGAGTATCATTTATTGTGTACATTAGCCCCATGTAGTCACTTCATAGTTAGAGCATATCTGTGTATGTGTACTGTATTGTTCTTTATGTGCTGATGAAGGCTAATCCCTGCAACGTCCTTTGTTCGTTTATTGTAATCGATTTTGTAAAGCTAACATAAACTGTTTGTTGTTTCTTACCAACTTTTTTTCTTCCCTATAATTTTCTACTCCTTTTAAAAACCATAAAGTTAGTTGGGTTATCCTCATTGCACTCCGGACATGTCCATAGGTGCTCAGATCCTCCCCTCAGTATGAACCCCAACGTCCGATGGCTAATAGTACCAGTTCTATGTTGATTAACAAGTCTTCTGGCGTGTCTGGTGTGCGTCTCGTTTTTTGCTGTACCGATCTTAATTCCCAAGTCTGCCATTCTGGCGAGTGATGTTGATTCACTGCCACCAAAGTCCTCTATCCTTCCCATTTCTCTGAGGGCATTGATAATATCAGCATGATCCATAGGCTGACCGTCGGTAGTGATAGCGGATCCAGCCAACCTGTCAGCTCTTTCATTTCCATCGACGCCTGCGTGTCCCGGAACAAAAATAAAGGTGACTCCACGCACAGTGGACTTCTGTAATGATTCAAGCCATTGTCTTCGCACTGAACCTGCCTGAACCCTCCGGATCATACTCATTGAATCACTGAGTATACACACACGGGTGTATTTTTGTGTTTCAAGCAAGGCAAGCGCTTGCGTCACTGCCATCACCTCCATCGTCATGCTGCTGGTTGTC